CTGCTGCAGCTGCAGCTGCTGCAGCTGCAGCTGCTGCGGCGGCGGCGGCGGCGGCTGCTGCTGCTGCTGCTGCTACTGGTAAGCTTGCTACTGGTTGCTACTGGTAAGGTTGCTACCAATTGCGGTTTTGTTTCTGTCCTGTTGTTGGTTGCTGGTTGTTGCTTGTAAGGTAGCTGCAGCAGTGTGGCCCCTATCTTGTTCGTGTCAGCTGCAAGTTGTTTCATGTTTGCCCTCATCCGGTTTGTGTTTGTTAGGTCTCGGGTCATATTTGCTCTGTTGGGCCCTGAGTGACAGTTTTGCAAAGTCTCTTGCAAAGGCTCTTGAGTCTTGAACCGGTTCAACAGTTTAGCTCTCAGAGTTTCTGGCCGAGAGCTTTGACCAAAACATCCTGCCGGCTGCAGGGCTTTTCCGCAGCACCGGCTGGTACAGCTCGCGGCCACCCGTTTGCTGCGGACGCTGGTGCGCTGGGGCCGAAGCTACCCACATCTACCCACCTTCCCCGTCTGAACACATTGAGTTTGCACAAAGGGTTGTGTAGGATTTATGCCGGGGTTGCAGATTCAGGGCGATGGACTGTGCCCTTCATCTTTCAGGGATTAATTAACAGGTTTGGCCTTCATTTAATTCAAGGTTTAGCTGTAAGCACACAAGCATCCCTGATTCAACCCGGACCTCTAAAAGTTTGGTTTTTTGGGGTATTTTGATTTTGTTTAAAGGACCTTTTGGAGTAGAATGTCTGAAAAGCCAGCTCTGGCAACATCAAAGCCTCAAGCTGTCCCATCCCACCGCCCAGTTGGGGGCACTCTGTCAGCTGGCGAGAAGGGCTTCGACAAGAGTTTTGAGGACATCGGACCAAGGTTAAGCCGCCTGAAAATGTTGATAACAGACTGATACAACGTGCAGTTCCTTGTGTTGCATTTTGGCGTTTCTTTTTTGTTGTTTCCTGGCCCGTGCCTTTTTGTCAGCAAACGGAGTTGCGCATGAACGACAACCCCTGAACCCTGCAGAACCGCTCGGGTCACCGCATCTTACACGCAAACCAAGCACCAAAAATGCCGGCAGTGAGGATTGTGGTATTGGCACCCTGAATCAAAACGTCGCTGAGGCCCCAAAAGTGGACCTGGACGGGCTCCGGAGACTACCCCGTGCAATTTTGCGCGTCGCGTAGAATTTTGAAACCATGCTAAAGGCTGGTGAAGCACACCCGTGCTCATGACTGTTCGACGTCAAAGTGTAGGCTTGAGGCTCAAGCTTTTACCGTTCAGGAGCTTGCAGTTTGGGGTTTACTATCATGCATTTTATAATGTATTTGTTGTGGAGGTCAGCGTCCGGAATGCTGGACAGTATGCTTCGCTTGGTGCTGCCCAACAACGATTTCGAGCAGAGACGCGCGCAGCACTCCAGCGACAGCACTGTGGACGCAGCGGGACTGGTGGGAGCGCGATTCTAGGCAGAAACGTGTGCGCAGAAAACAGGGAAAGGAACAAGACGTCACACAGTGTCAGGTCGTCGGTGCACGCAAGAATGTGCACAGTCCTACTTCACGAGAAGTCATGAAGGGCTGAAAGAAACGGCCAGATGTCGGTGTCGCAAAAATTTTCGCAGGCGCTCATGTCCGGCTGAGACAAATGCGAAAACATGAGACACAAGTATCGCAGCTTCTGGAGAGGAGCACACATCTTCCAGACCCTAAGTAGGGGGCCCTAGAGACCAAAGAGGCTCCGTGTCCCTTTCGGAAAGGGCCGGGCATGGCGGGGGAATAACTCAGAATGACTCACCCTGAACGTGAAGAAGCAACTCTGGCAGACAAAGCCTCCAACTAGAAGCCTTCCAGCTGCCCAAGCAGGACCACCTCGTCGTCCAGGAGGGCTTCGCGGAAGGGCTGCGGGCAGGGGAACCCAGAAGAAGAATCCGGGAATTGTTAGAAAATGCTCTCCTTCTGCAGGCAACGGTAGTCACTTTGTAGCCAAGCTAAGCTCGACACCCTCTGTGAGCTGATTTGGCAAAGCACCTGCAAGGTCCAAACTGCACACAGGCTTTTTAAAATTTTGCATATGCCACCAACTGTTGGCCACTTGTGATGTTTCTTCCAAAGCGAAAGTGATTGCCGGAGTCCCAAATATCTTTTGACGGAATTTCAACGATACCGGGAAGGTTAAATAAATAGCATGGCTCCTTCGCATTATAAACTGTGCAAAAAACTCAATCCCCAACTTGTGCTAGCCCAACCTCCCCTCTCCCCATGAACTCTCGCCAGCAGCCATTGTGTGAGGCTTGCAGTCAGAGATGTGCAATGGTGTGCTCCTAGGCCTGATGAAGGACAAGCGCATCCCAAGGGCATGGCAATACATCTGGGATCGAAATCGTCGTGCACCCGGCTGAAACATTTGCTCTCAATCTTCATCAAAATAAATCTGTACATGTGGCAAAGGGGATCATGGTTTGACTGTTGCCCTCTGGCATATCCCTGAGGTTCCTAAACAAGCAGGCGAAGCAATCTCGGCACCTGCAACGGTGGCCACCTCCAAACCTAAAGCAAAAATCAAGCCCTGAACACGAAACCTGAACTCCGAATGCTTTCCACGACCTGTGGCTGCCATGGCTACACCCACGGCCCTAGAAGATGTGCCTCACCGGGGAGTGTCCTACGACCTTGGCACTGCCCCGCTGTCACTGGGCTGGGGCTCGAAGCCGAGGGTGCTGTCTTTGAGCAAACCGTAAGCTGAGGTTTGCATTAGCCTTTGTGGCTGAGAAATGTTTGCAGGGTGTACATCGGCGGCGTTTTTTTGCTTACATTCTTCTGTGGGGTTTCGCCTGGTATTGTTGGCTGAAGGCTGCTAACTTTGAGGCCCGAACCTGAATCAACACGGCTGCATATTGAACTCGAGACGGATTGAGGGGTGAACGTTGGAGAATGATCTCGAGGCGCGCTGTAGCTTGAGCTGTAGCTGAAGTCTTAAGCGAAACTTTTTGCGCTCTCAAAGCAACGACAAGTCGCAAAATCGCCGACACCGACCTTGACTACAGAACCAATTCCGAGCCGAAAAACCGTATGCTAAACCCCCCTTAGAGTCCCAAGACCCGAACTAAGCTCCCAAAACCCCCCCTCAGACCAAAAACAACCCCTCGAACCTTCTGTCCCATGTCGGGTTTAAGATCAACCTCGGATTCTGAAACCCGCAACTGCCCCCCCCCCTAGTGTTTAAATTGTTCAGAACTCTGGGCTCCGAGAAGAACTAGCACTGGGAGCTGCAGAAAATGGTCCAGGGGCTGTCCCCAATCAAAAAAAACCGTGAATAAATAGTAAATAATTGATAAGTCTCTGGACTTCTCTCCCCTCCTCCCTCCCTCCCTGGCCTCCTCCGCGCCCACACCAACCCTGTAGAAAACCAGGCCCATCTGAAAACCTTGTTCCATGAAGCACGCGCAAGACCCCCCCAAGGCTTCCAGGCAGCCCACATCGGCCGAAGAAGCGCCGACAAAAGCGGCAGTTTTGCGGCCCTCCGGACATGCAGCATCAGCAGCCCTGTACCCGTAACAGAGGAGAGATTACAGCCTGTGAGGTCCACCTTGGTGTCTGTGCAGGAGCCTGCGCGCATTGTAGACCCTTTCCGGCTGCAGGTTTTGAGCTGGGTTCTGCTCTGGGGAAGCTTGTAGGAAGTTTGTAGATGGAGTGCGATCACATACATTTGCGCCACAACGGTTCGGGCTGCCAAACCCTTCCTGAACACAGGCGCCTTAGTGCAAGCCCTGCCCTGAGCGACCCCGAACAGAATCCATAAACTTCAAAGAATGACACCCCTCGCAACCCCCAACCCTACTTACGAGATGTGGTCTTCACCCACCTGGGCCCCTTTGACTCCTTCACTTACATGCCTTCAAGCCTCAAGCTCCACCCTCAAGCTTGAATCTTCAATCTACATCCAGAACATAATAAAATATCATATCATATAATTTTACAGAAGACAGCAAAATAGGATCATTATATATATATATATATATATATATACATATACATATACATATATAGCATATAAAATCTATATAATATACCGTCATATCATATACTATACAATATACACATAAATATGTATATAATAGAGAGAGAGACACACACATATATATATATATATATGTATGCATATCACAGTTCAGGGAGAGCACAAGGGAGCCCAGAGCTGAGTGCCCCGAGGTTTTGGCTTCCTGCCGCTTTGGTCAGAGTGCCTTCCGCTCCAGGCCGAGTAGCCATGGCCTGCACGCAGCCCGCGCAGTCAAACAAGAACACAGCTGGGTTTAGGGTTTCGGGTCTCGGGTTTGAAGGGAGTCACACCTGCCAGAACCATGGAACTGCAGAATGCATTTAAAATCGCTCAAGGCCACCTTTAAATGGCTAAACGAACGCTCCAAGATCCTACAAACAGTTGGCCGACAGTTTTCATATGCCAGATGGAACCCCTGTGCAAGCCCAGAAGCATATTTTCTGAACTTGTGAAAGCTTCCAGTAAATCATGGAAGCTTTCTCAAGAAATCCAGACTTCATCAAAGCACAGTCAAAAGGGCGTGAGACCACGCCATAGAACACTTGCAGCTGTAGGGAGGACAGCCCGTATGTATCTGCTCTAAAACTGACGGTTGCCCCGACCTCAACAGACACGCACAGGTCCCGACAAAAGTTCAGGAATCCGAGAGAACAAAGTTCCTGGAGCCCAAACTCCATAAAAAAGCTTGCAAAAACTAGTGAACAACATAGCAGACCCTACCCCCAGAACCCCTCAACCCCGTTCAGGGACGAGACCATAGCTCTGGGCCCCCGGACTGGGGTGCTGATCCTTGGCCAGCTTGAGTTCAAGCTTTGGATATTCCAGGCTTAGGTGCTTAAAGAGGCTGCATGGTTGTGCGTAAAGTCTGAGCCCCGAAGTGTGAAGGCTGGAAGTGGTCTGATCTTCCTGGAACCATGGTACGCAACTGAGGTAGGGGTCAATGTCACAGCCGGCCTCATCATGGGAACCTTAGCAGAAGTTCATCATCCACTTGGTGTGGGTACGCGTGGGCAGATTGAGGAAAGACATAGGCTCCCGGATTCTCAGGGATACCTCGAAACCTTTTTTCCGCAACATTGCAGGCCAGCCTTTGGGGGCCCTGCCAGAAAGCCCCTTTAAGCCGTAAGAGTTTGCGAATGTACCCCCCGACGCACCCAAGTCGTAGTCTGTCCGAACCCCACAGCTTTTCTCAACCATTGAACCAACACTTTCAGGTGTTCGAGAGGCCCTCGGTGGCATCGTGTCTGCTTCTATGGTTTTCTCTTCATCGGATATCCCGGAGATCTCCTCCATGCTCCAGCGGCGGGGCTGCGTTGGGGGATCGATTGGGTTGAGACATTTGGGGCTTAGACTTTCTTGGATTTATAAGTGTTTAGTTGAAGCTTCGGGGCAAAAAATGTCGGCACTCACAAAAGGCACATGTTTTGAAACGTTTTTCTTGTTTTCTCAAAAACGCTTTTCATTTTCAGCATTGCTTAGGGCTTAGGGATGCCCAACCCTCAGGTTTTGATGCACCTGTAAGCTGCTGACTTCACACCTGGTGCAAAGTCCTGCGCTTGCGGTTGGAGCATGTTTGTGTTCGGCACGACTTCAGCCTGAAGCTGCCCCCAGGCTTACGTGAAGGACGTTGAGGTCGAGGTTTCAGTGCAGTAGTGCCTACCAGGCTTTTGCAACCGTTCGAAAGCACCGGCTCCTCATTCTGTCATCTACTGAGACGACAACTTGGGGCCTTCCCAACTTTGACCTTCGCCAAGAAGAACTGCAATCAAGCTTGACCGCGTCCGAAGTCCAAGTGGAGCAGCAGCAGCCCTGCACCCTGCGTAAGCTGAATGCCGTCAAGTCCCCAACAGTAAACGATAAAAACCTTGCGACCGCCCGAGGTTCGGCATCAGCATGACCCTGTACACTATGTGCCTTCGATGCTTCAGATCGGGCAAGCGCTCTTTTCAAGACTGAGGCTGTTGATACGTTCTTTTTGCTGCTGCAGCCTTCGAAAACAAATTCGGGTGCAGGTTCAAGGAGTTGCAAGTGCAGGCAAGTGCATGAGCTGATAAAATCAATCTTGAGGTCTGGTCCCTGAAGCTTCCAGCTCAAAGTCCTAAAAAACTCAAATCCTAAGTCAACTCTCGAATCAAGGAGCGTCGGGGTGCTGTGGTATGCCATCTTTGGTCGCCTGCAGCGCCCTGGGCGGAAGGTCCGTGAGTGCCAATGACCTTTAAAGCCTGAATCGATAGGTCAAAAACCGCTCTGACCCCTACAGCCCGAAATGCGAAGTCGAAAGACTTTGCGATTTGCGCTTGGACCGCCGAAGTGATGTTGCCTTAAACTCCTTGAGGCCTAAATATGTTTGGGGCACCTGCGGATTTAGAGGTCTGCTAGGCGCGATGCTGAACTTTTGAAGCAGAGCGCCAAGGGTTTTTCAGGCACGGCATGTGGCCGCAAGTTTCGAAGATAGTCGTATTTGGTAGCTGTCTATGATAGACGTCGATAGACCCCCATTTAGACCCTATGGTTTTCGGATAGGTACCTAAGCCTATGCCGCCAACCTCAGCATGCCAGACCCCATGCATAGGCCCTGTCCCCTTTCCTATAGACCCCTATGCATATACCCTACCCCTTTTGCCCTAGACCCCTATGCATAGACCCTATCCATACCTATACCACCCCCTATGTCGCATAGGCCCCTATGCATTTTTCCATCGGCTCTACTGCCTTCATCCGGGTTTCCTATGTGCCCCTATGCCATGTCAATCCATGCTCTCATTTTAGGGCTTAAGGCTTTTAGTGTTTAGGGTTTATTAAAGTCAAAAACTTCCGGGTTTTTTGGGTTTAGGGTTTTTGGGGTTTGCAGCTGAGGGTTTTTAGGGTTTGGGTATTTTGGGGTTTAGGGCTCACGGGTTTTCAGGGTTCAGGGCTTTTCGGGTTTAGGGTTTAGGGTTTTAAAGTTTAGGGCCTTTTAGGGTTTAGGGCTTAGGAGTTTTTAGGGTTTAGGGTTTAGGGTTTTTGGGGTTTAGGGCTCAGGGATTTTTAGGGTTTAGGGCTTAGGGCGTTTTGGGTTTTAGGGCTTAGGGGTGTTCAGCGTTTAGGCATTTAGGGCTTAGGCGGAGGGTTTTTTAGGGTTTAGTTATGGGTCTTAAGGGTTTTAGATTTTTTCAGGGTTTGGAGATTTTTTAGGGTTTAGGGCTTCGGGTTTTTAGGGTTCAGGGTTTAGAGTGTTTTTGGGGGTTTAGGGATTAGGGGTTTGTAGGCATAGGGGCCTATCCTAAAACGATAGGGGTCTATCGCCCGCATAGCGGTCTATGCCAGAGCTGCCCCCCCTATGCATAGGCCCCTATCCCACCTATGGGAGGTGCCTGTGTATAGGTACCTGTCGGTTTCCGGATAGACCCCTAAAGATAGGGGTCTATCCCCCTCAGGGTAGACGGGTGGGTAGGGGTCTATGCATTATCCGGTAGACCCCTATAGAATAGGTACCAATCCTAGAACAGATAGACGGCTACAAATCCAGACCATACTCGGAGTTTCTAGGAATTTAGGTATAAGGCTTGAAGGTAGGGGCGCCAGAAATGAGATCCGACAAGGTACGGCTACGGTACGCAGCAGGACCTCATCTGCATCCTCCAGGCACCCAAGCAGCGACGCATGGGGTTCATGCGGTTTTTCGTTTAGGAGTGGTGGATCGAAGTTCAAGGGTTGCAGTGTGCAACCCAAGCTCAACGCCACCTATCCCCAACCCTGGATTCCGAAGTCTCATCGCAACATCCGTAAGTTCCTAAGCGAGACTCAGAAGCTTCGTTTCTCAGTCTCTCCACCTTGAGCCCTTTTCCTCCCCAGCCACACCACCACCTCAACCTGCAAAGCTTTCTCTCCCTCAGAGTCTATAAGTCACCCAAGACTGCCAGAGGCGCAGCTTGCGGTGAAAGCGGCACTGCGCCTGGAGGCAACACCGGAAAAGATCCCGGCGACAGCTGCCTGATGCGATTTAGGGCTTGGTTGAGGGTGTGAAACAGTGTTTTTTTTGTTGAGGGGGGGGGGGGGGGGAATGTTCTTGCTGCTGGTTGGTCAATGTTGATTCAATCGTGCTACCTGTTTCTTACTTGTCTACCGTGCTATGACATGTTGTGTGCTTGTGGTAGTAGATATATATATATATATATATATATATATACTACCATGGCTTGAAGTCCTCAACCCTTACTAGATCACAAGGAGCCCTAGAATATTACACTTTGGAGCCAGATTGGGCAGCGGGTAGTAGTGCTCTTGGGAATGCACAGCCCGAAGCTTCACTCGAAGCTTCTTCACTTCAGAAACCTCGATCCTAAACGTCATGGATTCAAACTAACTTCTAGGATAGGGCTTTTCGATCTCAAGCCTTTGTTTCTCCCTGGCATTCCGGGCAGATCCTGGGTAAGTAGACTCAAGGTCTTCGCCATCATCTGCACCTCCTCCATACTCAGCGGGCTAGTCAGCATTCTGCCTCCTGGCCACATCTGAGGCTTTGGGGGTTCAGGGGCTGCGGTGATCTGCGCTCGCTTTTGGCTGCTATGTTCCTGAGCACGTATCACACACACACACACACACACGCTCATTCATTCAGCTGTAGTTCAGCATGGCTTGTTCTGAGGTTGTCACTGCCAAACCTTCAGGTATGTAGAGACGTGGACATATAAATATTTAAACGAAAAAATCATATATATATATATATGTATATACACACATACACCTTCTCACTACAACAGGTGTGCGAAACTCTGGGTGTGTTTACATACCGGCATTGATACGAAGCACTTGGGGTTGGACGCCGTGAGTTGGGTGCAAACCAACCACCGGTTCGTTATCGAGTTCGTCGGCTGACAGTAAAACATGGTGGTCACATGATGGTGACAACAGCCTAGCACGTCTGAAGCCAAAGTTAGCACAAATGACAGCGTTGCATCGCGCCTGCCATGGCCGGACTGTGCGATGTCCCTCCCGGCGACGCGCGACCCTTATGCGCTGAATGGGGCAAAAACAAACTCCCTGCCCTCGAAGACTTGTGAGAACAAGTCGAAATCCCTCATGCGTTGCGAAGCGTACGCGATGACGAGGAGCCTTTGCGCTTGGATTGGCAACGGTGGCACGATGAACACCTGGGACTTTTCTGAGACCTCCACGGCTGGCAGTCTCCATGTGCATGACGATGTGTGCAACACCTGTTTTGCCCGTGGATATGCGATGAATGTCGAACTCGTGATCTCACGATGTTTCTACAACATGCATGGCAACGAGCAAGGACAGCTACCGGGGCTGAATCCGTCGTCTTTGTTTCCATGATGAGAAGCTTCGAAGGTTGCGGTTTTCAAGTCTTAGAAGTTCAGAAATCTTTAGTAGGAGGCTGGAGGGTAGGGGGGGTTGTCCGCCTCATCCTGCCGTTGTAGCGGCGAAAGTCACCGGCTAACCTTGCAGGGTGTGCCCTCATGAACTTGCCCTCTAAAACGTCCACGCTTCTTTGCAAGCTTCTTGCTGATTGACGTTGGGAGTTTCAACGTCGACAGCTTCGATAAAATCCGATCTGAACAAATGGGCATCTGTTGGGATGCAAACTGCTGCATGACGATATCGCAAACCCTCACACGAGCAGACGCAAGCAAGACAGCTTGCTGAACCTGAGGCTGGAAGCCGACTTTACCCCTAGCCGTGCATTTGAAGCCCCAGAGACTCCAACCCGAAACCCGACATCCTAAACCCTCAACGGGTGACGCCGAGATTCGGGACTTCCTTGGCTTTTGTCGTGGGCACGCTGAGGTTTGGCAAGCTGCGGTGGGCCACATCCATGCTCATGATCCCAAAGCCAGTTGTCAGCGGCCCTCCGACGGATCTTGGGAAGTGTAGGGCCCAGCCCCAGATTGGAGGGTGTGTATGGTTTGGAGTTTGAGGGTTGGGCCGGGCCGGGCAATGTTTAAGCTCCTCAACAATCGGACACCTCGCAGCTCAGGGCGCGGGCATTCAGAGCCAGCCTACCTTCTGAAGTCATAGAAACTAGAGTCCAGGCATTTTACGGCTGCAAAGTCCACTGGCCGAGCTGTTGCAGCTACCGAGCAATCTACTCTAGGTGTTCAGCAATCTCAGGCACCGGTGAGGTATTGATACAAGTCTGGCTCTCAATCACAAAACCCCAAGTCATTGAGCCACCCTTCAACTCTTTTAAAGTTTGAAGAAAGCACAGACCAGGCTTCTTGGGTGCCATCGGTGTGGTGGTCCTTCAAGCGGGCCTGAAGACAGCCTCCGGGGCACCGTCCCTGCAATTGTTTTTGGGCGTGTTTGATAAAGTTGAACTTTCTGGAAGGTAGTAGCGGGCAGTCTTTACACACATGGCAGCCATGACTTGAGATATTGACTTTGCTGCGCGCCCTCATGTCCTAGCTGTTTTGGGCTTTTATTGTTCGCACCTGGGACCTTGTCCTTTTCCTTGCCCTCGTCCTCGTCGCCACCATTAGGTGTGTAACAGGGCCACTGGCCACTAAGCAAGAGTACGGTTGAGGCACCCTCCATCCGGCTACGAGTTTCTTTCGTGCCTTCGGAGCGGATCCTTCCAAGTCATGATGTCAGTAAACTGACCTCCCATGTAGCATACATGTCAAACAGGATCGGGGCATGCCACGGGTACAATCACTCGACGAGGCTGCAGAGCATAATGTTCATCACATGTCGAACAGGACTCGGTACATCTCCTTGCTTCTGGGGAGCTGGCACGGTTTGGACGCAAACAAGCGACGGGCCAAAGATCGTACGTGTCAACTTCCTTTTTGGGAGTTCACACACTTCTAGTACAAGCATGCGGCGAGTCACAGATTATACATGTCAAACGGGATCGGGATTAATATCCTTATGGTGGGAGCTTACACTTTTTGGGCACGCGACGGGCCACGGAGCGTACATGTCAAAAAGGATTCCTTGCACGGGGGAAGTCACATGCTTGGCACCAACACGCGAAGTGCCACAGAGCATACATGTCGAACAGGGCAGGGGAAAAGTTCCTGTTTGGGAGCTCACACATGTCGTGACCTGCCACAGGGCGTACATGTCAAACAGGATTGGGGTGAATTTGTTCCTTTTTGGGCAGCTCACGCACTTTGCGCACAAACAAGGCGATGGGCCAGAGAGCACAAGGATCGCAACAACTCTTCTTGCTTTTGGGAGCCATGTGTGTGTGTGTGTGTGTGTGTGTGTGTGTGTGTGTGTGTGTGTGTGTGTGTGTGTGTGTGTGTGTGTGTGTGTGTGTGTGTGGTGTGTGTGTGTGTGTGTGTGTGTGTGTGTGTGTGTGTGTGTGTGTGTGTGTGTGTGTGTGTGTGTGTGTGTGTGTGTGTCTGTGTTTGTGTTTGTGTTGGTGTTTGTGTTCGTGTCTGTGTCTGTGTCTGTGTTTGTGTTTGTGTTTCTGTTTGTGTTTGTGTTTGTGTTGGTGTTTGTGTTTGTGTTTGTGTGTGTGTCTGTGTGTGTGTCTGTGTGTGTGTCTGTGTGTGTGTCTGTGTGTCTGTGTGTCTGTGTGTCTGTGTGTCTGTGTGTCTGTGTGTCTGTGTGTCTGTGTGTGTGTGTGTGTGTGTGTGGGTGGGTGGGTGGGTGGGTGGGTGGGTGGGTGGGTGCGTGTGTGTCTGCGTGCCCAAAGTCCGAGCTCGACCAAGACAAGGCGATGTGCCCCAGTCTCCGTCGCGCGCTTCTGCCCACAGTGTGAGACCCCCCCATAAAGGAGGCTGCTGTGCACCCGTATTTCTGGATCAGCCGAACATTTTGATTGCTTTCATCTGTGCAACAGCATTCAGGCAACAACTCTATCTCACCCTCTTGTGCGTGTAGAAGGTGTTTTGCCAACAACAGCGTTGCAAGAACGTCACCAAGCCTAGCTTTGTACCTGACTCGTGTATCAACACAGGTTTGTCGCCACACCTCGCATGCACATATTTCTTCCAATCAGGAAGCATCATGTTGATGGAACATAGTTTCTCACGCAACAAGCTCTTTCATGAAAACATCACAGTAGCATTGATAGCGCAAACTTTTCACACAAGCTCGTGTGGATGTGTAGTTGTATTTCGCAGAAGCATTGAGGCCAAATAAACATCACAAAACCGGCGCAGGGGAACCAGAATTCCTGTCACCTCTGCCCAGGTGCGGTTCCATCACTTCTGGCCTGATGTTGGATGGGTGGAGTTCTGCTCGTCCAAGGATCGAGTGCTTCAGGCCAGAGCAGACATCAGAGAGCAGGGCCGGAGGAGTAAGGGTCTTCGTCAGAGGGGACAGCCTACCTTCATCAGGATTTTGAGTTTTGATTCCTTGGTGGGGCACTACGCCACTACACAGTAGAAAGGGCGCCAATTATACACTATCTCCGAGCTTCAACCACCTCTGCCAGAACCGATGTCCATAGTAGTTGCCCGAATCGCCCCATGAACCACCAGAACGCCCCGCCGACCCGAGGTCACCTGCATGATGCTGCATTTCGCGTGCATTCGACAGGGTCCGAGCGTTTGCGCTTCGAGCCCTGGCGCTTACTGGAGTCCACCAGGGGTTCAAGTAGGGAGGCATGTGGAGATTTAGTCATTCAGCGCTCGAGGGATTCAAGGTTTCAGGGCAGGTCGAAGGGTTGACCAAGAAAGTGGAGGCACGCAACATCTGCTGTATGACAATTGTCTTCAGGCACAGCGGAGCTTCGGATGGCCCTAGTGATTAATACAAGGCATGCTCTGTTTTTGGGAAAATCTGCAAGGAATTTTTGCCGATGCCCCGGTCCAGGCCATCAGCAGACGGCTTTAGCGGAGTATGCGCAACCCGTGTTCGGAATGAGCTTCCTGTTGGGCCGGAGTTGTAGCAGGAAAAGCAGGGATGACGTCGAAGACCAGTCTTGCTAGGAATGGGGGTTTTTCCTCAATTAGGAAGGTGCCCAGCTCCATCTGTTTGGCATCAACTTACACTTGATATTCCAATCAGAGACCTGCGACCCAAAAGCTGAAACTTCCACTCTCTGAGGCTTGTGGACGCCGACCACAGCCAGCGGCGCCAAGATGCCGCGGCACGGCGGCACATTTTTGTTTCCTTCTCAATCCTTTTCGCACGGGGCCCCTCGCACAGGCTTAGATGAGAGTCCCCTCGACCCAAGCCTTTAAGCCCCCTAAACTCGGGGAGTTTTGCAGATGGAGAAAGACTTCAGGATCGAAGAGGCGACCCCCAAGTTAAGCTCTGCAAGACTCCTCCAAGTTCTTTCAGACGATGGCCTTAGTCTTTGCCTTGTCAGCTATGGCCTTTGAGGTAGGGTTGTGGCTAGAGTTGAAGGTGGATTATTGCGGGTTCGTGGTTTGTGACTCATGTTTCTCGTAAGTTGCCATTTTCTCTGCCATTTCACAGAATGCCGGCGCCTGGTACCGTGGTTCGCTGTCAGCAGACATTTTGAGGTGAAGAAGTACGCTGCCTTGGTCTGCCAGCTTGCCCCACTGCTTTTATTCTACATCGTTGTGATGTGTCTTGGTATGAGTCCTGGCGGAAGGCTCAACCTCCAAACCCAACAATCCGCGACAATCGGCGGCTTGTTCGGGGTTGACGTGTTCCGCGCTTTGCAGCGCTCGAACCCCCTTACACAAGCTACACAAACCCTAAACGTTCACGGAGTTACTGTGCACCACCTACACCTTCACGGAATTCGGATTGTTAGGTTGGCCATCCGGGCTTGCGGCTTACAGGCGTCAAGTGAACGGCTCCCCAATGCTAGACTAGCATCCAGGGTTCATTCGGAGTTCCCATGTTATGTTGTCCATGGCAAGCTCCCAGGAATATGGAGTCCCTGGCGGAGCATGGCTGGACATATCCCAGCAACGGAAGCGAAGGCTCTTGGGCTGAAGCATCAGAACAGAAGAAGATCGCTTGTGAAGATTGAGGGAAGAGTGATAAGAGTAGTTCAGAATCTTGGCGCCAAGCTGACTAGGAAAAGAGGACTCCGAATGGTTTTGAAGGGGATGTGGCGTGTTACACTCTCGCACTTTGGCAAAAAAAGGCTCTAATTCTTTTTCTGCTTTTCCACCTCCAAGGAGCCATGAGCATCTGGAGCACCTACAGCTTCTCCGACGTGGACCTTCTCACAGCGCCTCGGAATATAGTAGAGAATAGAAAGTCGCAAGAATTGTAGCAATACGAGGCAGTCTTCATATTGAAGGCAATCAGTGAATTGCGCAAAATAATTGACAAAAAGAGAACGCGGCCTTGGAGTTGCGTGCAGTCTTTGCTTGTGTTTTCAATTTTTGGATGGGCTTTGTACCGGTTGTCATCCCAATAATTCAAATCAGCTGAAGACTTTCGATCCCAGAAAAGGGAGCTAAACACCCGGCACACGTCCAGTCCTATCGGGCTCGGGCATCCAAGTTAAGAGTTTGGGACACAGGGCTTTTCACAGTGCAGGAGTGTCCTGGTTTTGTTGCTCTAGAAACGTGCAACAACACTAGAAGAGTCCAGGTTCGGGAGATCTGCGTGTCGCTGGACATCGTGGCTCTTGTCGCCATGGCCATCCTTTGCACGATGCAACATGGCTTGAGCGAGGGGCAGAGATTTCGGGTTGATTGCATTTACGAGTATGGTCCAAGTCCTAGGCAACTTTTGCCGCTAGAGATCCAGAGACAGCAAGGTAGGATTCGCGTTCGTGTGCCCTGCATTTGGCACCATGCAACATCGAGCTTCGAAGTCAGCAATTGTGCGAAACCAGGTTTCCGCGCAATGCAGGTTCCGGTGACGAGCAAAAATCACAAGACCACTCGAGCGCGGCGCTCTTTTTTATACTTGCCGTGCTACGCCTAAGCAGCAGCATAATTAAGTCGAACGAGTCTGCTGGACAAAACCTGTTGCAAGTCGCAGGAGAGAGCCACAAGCGAACACGGCTACTTATGGGGGCGGAAGCCGCAGAAACGAAAGAAACAAAGGAACACACCTAGAGATGCTGCAATGCTGATTGAAGCCGCCGAACACCTGAAAATGCTGTGTTGTGAGCTGCCAAGCACAAAGAAATGCTGCAAGCCCCAAAAAGCGCAAAGCACATACACACAAAAACCTCTAGGCCCTAAGCGCGTGAACCCGTGACATAAACCCCCCCACAGTTATGATGACCCTCCTCCGCAAGAAGAGGCTGGGTGCCCTGGCCATCACTGGCCGTTACCCCACCGGCCCGGCAGGGGATCCGTCCCCAGACGATGCCCGGTTTTGCAGTAGGCTTTTTTGATTCATGGATCTATGGAGGAGGGGTGTGTGCAGTGATCAAGTCTGGTTGAGAGTTTTACTACGAGAGTGATGCTGCCCTTGTGCTGTACCTCAGTTTAGCTTCCAAGCTTCTCGTAGGTGATACTTCGAATGCCACGAGGTGCACGTGGGTTCAGTGGACTCTCCGGTTTCAAAGCATCCTGAAGAGGGGTGTTCGCCCCCCCCCCCCTCCCCCCTATGAGTTCGGGGCACAATTCCTCAAGTACCTTCGAACGAAGGAAATGCTTCGGACGAGCGGTGTAGTCGTGTGCACTTCTGTGCTCTGAGGACCCGCTGGACTTCAATGCAGAGCTGACGACGGTGGGGGCAGCAGCCTGGCAGGGTCAGCTTAGGTTTCAAACATTTTCAAACCCTCAAACCGAACCCACGACGCAGAGGAAGGACACCAAAGCCCGAAACGGTGTCTCGAAGATCCAGGCGAGCCTCTTCCTCGGCCTGACTGGTGGAAACTTGATCTTCCACAAGTTCTCAGTGATCCAGCTGCTGATCTGCAGCCTCCATGCTCCCGAATTGGGTTACAATGCAAGTGGCTAAAGGCAGCAACCATGCGCACCACCGGAAAATGGATGAACGCTCGAGCCAACATTATAGCTTGCAGGGTGCATCGTTGACACTGTGCACTGCATCGAAGCCCAGATCTCTTGGAGCTTCCAGCCTCACCCTGTCGGGATCGGGCCTGGTGCGTCGAGGCTGCGAGAGGATGGCGGCACACACCGCGTCGCAGTGCTGACGATCGCGCTGGCCGGGCATCGTTTTGTAAGTGCAGGGTCTTGGTTTTTCCAAACGTAGAGTTGACAGGTGACAAGAATCTCTGCTCAGTTTTTTCAGGCTTCTTCTGGCATCGGGGTTAAACTGCCCTGCAGTTCCACTCACGCACTCTTGTCTCTCTCGTGTGTTTCCATTTTCCACGCTTTCACTCGACTCGCGCTCCTACTCGTACCACGATGGTGATTGACAGGCGTCTCGATTTGGAGAGCCCTAGCCTAAACACCGACGCTACAAACCCATGGAGGTCGCCGGCTGCCTCTTCGTGTTCGGCTTTCCGATCGGGTCTGTTGTGCCAAAGTGGTTCCTCGGGGGCCTCTTTATGACTCTCGCGGCAACTAATTGGGGTTTCAGGGCCATATTCGGGTTGAGGATTTTGGGCTTCTGGGTTGAAGCCACTGAAGCCAAGCCCTCATGGCCACTGAAAGAAGTTCAATATTGAAAGCCCAGCACTCGGGTAAGCCGAAGCAGGCGACTTTAAGGTCTTTGGCTCAGGGGTTTAGGGAGTTAGAATTGATGGTCGTGCTTGTGGTGTTGACTTCGTACCAAGAGCCTTTTTGAACTTAGACCTTATGTCGAGACGCTAATCAGGAACACCGGCTGGTCCTTCCTGAAAAAGACTCTCCTGTCTTACCAGCAGCCTGGCTTCTTGGTTGGGGTTCACCTTGAAACGCCTAGGCCGCGTCAGCCTGCACCTGACAGCCTGACAAAGCCAATTTGGCAAGTTCGAAAAGAAGGGAATAAGACATTTGCAAGTGTTTGCGTTTCCTCCTCGTCACCAGACGACTGGATTCTTGATGATTCCGGTAGGCTGGTCATGGGAGGCCGGGCTCGCTCACACCTTTCATGTGCCACGTCGCTGTGCGCAGTTTGGTAGAAGCATCGCCCGAAATTCCGCATCCCAAGCTCCTAACGGTCCTAGCACCAACAATCCAGGCACATGAGCACCTTCAAGTGGCGAGGCCTGCACATCGTTTCCATGCACCATGGCAGGAACCTCCTGGCACCTTGAGCCAAGGGTCCTGAGGTGTTGCGGTTTGCTCCTGGGGGATAAACTCGCTGAGCTTAGGGTGCAGGGCTCGAAGTTTAACATTCGGGGCGTGCAGCACAACCCATGACGAAACCTCCACATCGAGTCAGAGATTTGTAAGACCTTGACAAGTACTGATGTTTTGAGCCGTCTTGGATAGGGAGCAACTCAATCGGGTAACCCCCGTGACAGGAAACGTCCCGTCACCCTTTGAGAAGGAGACCCCAAGGACCCGGCAACGAAACGCCCCAATGAAAAGCCCAAGCGAAGCCCCCCCCCCCTTATGAGCCTTAAAGCTCGAGCTCGAGCTCGGACACCCTCCAGAGGAACCCGAAGTCTCCAGGCAGTATGGAATTTCCACCTGCTGCGTGCTGATGGCACTGTACTTCAGCCCAACGACAGCCATTATGGCCGGGCTCTGCCTCAGCGCCCTTGGCGAGTTGATGCACTTGTTTACAGCATCGTGATTCAGCTCAGGTCTGTAGCAGCGCAGTATTTGAAAGGGTTTAGGGCTTATTGAGGGTTTAGGGTTCGGGCATGGAGGTGCAGAACCCAGGACTTGAGGGCCAAGGTTTGCGCTGGTGGCTTAGGGGGTTTTTGGAAAGTGTGCTTGGCGCATGCCCTTCTTGCAAGATTCACACGAAGACTTCACGCGTTTCACGTTTCTGGCCCCGAACGTAATCACTCACGTTCACAGAACTTGCCGCAGGACGCTTCAGGACACCTGCCCAACCCGACCTCAACACCCCCGACCCCTCGTGACCCTCGTGACCCTCGACACTCTGAACCCTAAAGTCCACAGGCATTCTCCTATTTGTCTGGGATGGCATGTCCACATCGCCCGTGAGCTCGGTGGTAGATGGCCAGCATGTCGTGAGCCGAACGAAGAGACGCTCGGATGCGCCTATATTGGGCGGTGACTCATGGAAACCCCACACTCCCAAACCCAGGAGCCTGAATCTGGCTCAGGACCATGGTGGGAGATGAACGCCGCCCAGCTGCTTCAAGTGCAGAAGGAAATTGAAGAGGTTTGTTGAGTTGTTGGGACACCGAAGTCCTGAGTCAGGTTGGTTTTTGGGTTCCAGGATACAGGCTTCAAGCCGCTGCGAAGTCAAACCTTAACAGGCCTTGGGACTAAATCGTTGAGAGCTGCCCAGGCATCCCCACAATTCCCAAGACACTGTGCCTTTCATGGCATTGGCCTGAACGGTGAGCCCTCGAAACTCTCGAATCGTATTTCGGTTTTGGGGCTTCTTTCGGAGGAATACGGGCTCTAGGGAGCTCCAAGCGCCAAGGCGTTGAATCCTTCAGAGCTTCAGGTCAGCTTAGGGTTGGAAAGAAGGGTGGGGATGCAGCAGCAAACCCTTCAGCCGGTGCCAGGTACTTGCAGCAGAAGGCGACCGAGTCCGCTTGCTCTACTTGCAGGAGAGGTAGTAGGGTGGAGTGACGGCGCGGCGCCGGTACAGTCTTCAGTACAAGTCAGCGCACCTTACACAGTGACCTTTTGCAAGAGGCCCTTGGAGCCAACTCAAATACGCATCTGTAGCGGTGAGCTCCGCTCGAAAGGCCCCTGAAGGAAGAACGCTGAACATGGCAGAGCCTGAAACCCCAAAGGTGTCCACACGGTCTCGACCAACAAACCCAGCGCCCACGAGCCTTGCACTGTCCCTTAAAGATAGAGCATGATCGAGTCTAGGCAGTGCTTAAGGTTTAGAGAGGGTGACACAAGCATAGGCCATCCCAAAGCCTGCCCCCAAAAACTCCAAAACTAAGCAAGCCTGAAGTTACATGCTGTCACCTGCTATAGCTCCCTCAACACATCCGTCAGCCACTAAGGCCTAAACTGGAAGTGTCCGAAGTGCCCCACCGGCCATCCACACACCTCCAGCGGCTTGCAAACCCCAACTGTGCTGTGGTGCAGGGCCAGCTGTTCTTTGGCTCCATGCTGCAGCTCACGTCCAGTCTCGAAGCGGCCGCATCGGACCACCGCATCGACGCGGGGCTGCAAGGTAGTTTTGGTGGAGACTTCTCGTTTGTCAAGTGCCGAGGGTGCCCGTCCCGGCCCCCCCCCCCCCTTCCTTTACCCGGTTGCCGGGTATCGGGTGCCACCACTTGCAAATGGAGTTGTATCGCGTTCTTCTCTCGGTGACTATGTAGAGGAAACAGCTGTTTTTTATTCAAGAAATCCCATTCACAACAAACAGAGGCTTCAAATCAGAATAAAGATGGCAGAAAGCTTTCATCGTTTTATAGCAGAAAGTATAGATGAAACAGAGGTTTCCCGATTCAAATATTGGGGAATTAGAACTCCAATGCGACAAGATACAGGAAATAGAGAGTCTCCTATCAAAATATGGAGCAAGGGCAGACCCGTGCCTATCAAAAAATGCACAGGTGAGAGAAGCTCTCTTACGAAAATGTAGAAGGAATAGGTGCTTTTCTAGTCAATAAAGCTGTGAAACTTATAGAGGGCAGGGGGTGACAGGCATAACGGGAAGTGGGTGAGGGGGTGTGGCGGGAAGCCAGGGCGGAGGTTACCGGTGCTACCCCGCGTTGTCGGACCGGACGAACCACCCGAAATATTGCTCTCTCAAGTCGTGGATTTGCAATGATTTGGGTGAGCTATGTTCGAGCTGGTGGGAATTATACGGATGCTATTTCACGGTGCTGTGATACTTTTTCGGGATGCTGGATTGAGAATCTGGTTTTGGGCATGGGGTTTCACGGCACTTTACAACTAAAGGCCCTGTGCATTTTCATTGCTAAGCTGTGTCGAAGATGGGCTCAGAGGGTTTGCCGGCTGAGCTGAAGCGGAAAGGTGCATCCTTCCATTCTGCAAACTGCAAACCCCACCAGGCAGGCTACGGCCAAGCTTTAACTCAAAGCTTGCAGTCCTAGACCTCCTAAGCCCCAAACTGGCAGCCAGTTCGTTGTGACTGTTGTAGGAGCCATGGGGTCTTTGGTTTTGGGGTAGCTTGAAGATGCTAAACATGTTAAAAGGGTTTTGCTTTTTCTTGTTGTGAGGAGTTCGTGATCTTGAGCTATGCACGGGTACCTCTCATGGACCCGTCTGCGGCCGAAAACATCCGTGCTGCGCAAGAGAAGATCTCGAAGTTTGGTTGCAACGCCCCCTGGTTTACATAAGGCGCACGTTCGAGCTTAGTAGACAACGCGGATATCCCTTGTTGCAAAGGCTCTAAACTCTAAACCTTGAACTCTCAATCCGCAACCCCGCTGGATTCCGAATCAAGTAGCCTGAAAGCTGGCCTCCGGATTCGAACGCCGCGATTTTCATTGATGCAGTTCAGCGTCGACAGCTTCGGGACTTACGACGGAGCTATAAGTCTATAAGTCGGAAGCCGAATCACAAAGCTTCAGGCACCACAAACCTTAGTTGAATGTCCGCATTTCACACTGAAGTCCGAAACCAGAACCCACCGGAAGCTGAGCAGGTTCTCCACTGCCGCACCAACGAGCAGGTTTTCGGAGCACTTTGTGCAGCAGGAGCCTTTTTCTTCTCTGAAGCTTATGACTTAAAACACAGTTTCCGGTCGGCTTCAGAAAGCCCGCCGGAAAGCCTAAATCCCATCAGGTCCTATCAGGTGCTCGAGAATGTTTCGAGGGTTGCCGGCTTTGCAGCAAGCTTTGGGTTCGAGGTTGGTAGGGATAGGGTCCGAAGGGTGTTTGGGGCCTCTCAGTTCTTCCCCCGTCCCTCTGAGCCCTCGACTCTGCACTCTGATCCTCTAAGCCTTCGGGAATGACGGATACTTGGGCATTTGTAGGTGCTTGGTCTTCAAGGTATGGATTGTAGGGTTGTGGTCGGCTTGACCGCTTCAAGGTTTGAGGGCTGCTGACCTGAGAAGACCCGAGAGCCAGATGGAGAACGCTACCCAGAGCCCCTGGTAGGAGCAATCCAGCGGCCATCAAAAGATTTCTTGCTGCGTATCCAGAACAACCAGCACCTGGGCGAAATTCAAAGGCTATAGGGTTAGACGGTTCAGACGATATTCGCAGTTTGTTAACGTTCGCGTACGCTTGACATGAGCTGTCTAGGCTTAGTGCGAGCGATTGAACGAAACAAAATTAGGAACGAAGTGAGAGATAAAAGACTAGAAAGATAAATAACCATAAGATTTCAAGAACATGCCCATAAACAAGTTGTAGATTATAAAATCTATGAATTTCCAATATTCTAAAGTTTAGAAAGGTGTACTTCGTTCTCACCCTATTATTATATTCACGCACTTCGTTCACTTTGTTAGCTGTTGCGAGAGCTTTGCCAGACCGCAGAACTTGTTTCCATTGCCTGAACCCTCAGTTGTTTTTGGGTGGTGCGGGGCGAGGGGGGGGTGTGGAGGGGTTGCGGTGGCGGGGTTCCGAAAACAGATGACTCACAGATCTGAAGCCCAAAATGAGAACAGCTGCACCAAGAAAGCCAAGATTCTTTGTCCCCGCCCAAGACTCATTTGAGAGCAAACCGTTCAAAGTATGGACCCCAATATGGTCCCTTGGCCTTTTTGGGAAGAACACCAGAACCCCTAAAAGATATAGCATACTCAAACCCAAGAGTTAAAGACCTAAACCCATAAAGCCCAAAAGCCTTATCCCCACACTGATTCGAAGACGTCATGCGCGCCCCCAACCTCAAATCCGACAGCAGAATCTCGTACCAACATTAAACACAAAAGCCGAAGTGCCAAGCTCCTCAAGCCTCGATCCGAACCCTGCACAGGTGGAGCTTCGTCAGCGAGTCGCTGGAATACCTCGACCCTGAGACACCGAACAACGACACCCATCCGGCGCCTCCGGCCCTGGATTTTGGGGAGTTTGCTTCGTCTTGGTTTTTTTTGGGAAGCACTCTTTGAGGATTTTGCGAGGTGGTCTGTTCATTGATAGTGCTTCTTGCAACCTATATAGTAAATACTGTAGTTGTTGTCTCAAAAGGTGCATTTTCTGTGCTGCTTTTGCTGGTCGTGTTCAGGCTGTCAGGGTTTCGAAGCTGATGTTCACGGAGGTCTTGCCTTGAGGATTTATTGGGGTTTTGCATGCTCAGGGTTGCGAGTGGTTCAGCATGAAAGAAAGTGGGGGTCGGGGCTTTCAGACTTCTGTTGAGGACGCCTTCTTCCATGAAACGGACTGCCTTGACTACTGCGACGAGTACCTCGTGAGAAACTTCAGCTATGATCTCCTGGCGCCCAGCCCTCCTCTGGAAGACTACATGCGCGAGCGCCTTGGACTTAAAGCGTGTTTGGGGGGCTTCAAGAAGGCTGAGAATAGTCCCAAAGTAGAAGCCCATCAAACCACAAGGGCTTCTTGCGTCAATACTTCGAACCAACATCGATGTCCAAGCAGGAAGACGTTCTGCCTTAGGATGGCCCCCAACCCCCGCCCAACCTGTCCTAAACCCTCAGAAGGAAATGTGCGGCTATGGGTTGCGGCTTCAAGGACATGTGGGCTTTGATGGCTGGCACGTAACATGGAGTCCGTCTTTGGGGCTGAAGGCGTGCGGATTCTGCATTGCCTTTTTTGCGTGATTTTTCGGGACCATGCCTGTACGCGTACGGAAGCCTGGCCATTTTGCTTGTTACTCTGGGAAAGGCATCCCGAGATTAAATCAGGGGTCTCCTGCATCATGCGACCCACACTGCCAAAAGCACCGGAGTTTGTGTTGTGGAGTTTTTTTTTTTTTTTGGGGGGGGGGGGGGGGGTAATGTGTGTTTATGCTTTCACGCACTTGAAAGCCGGCACTTCACTGTTGCGCATTGCACCAGCAGCACGTGCTCCGGGCCCGCGACAAACTTCCTGGGAACCGGGTTCGGGTTTTGGGGTTGAAGGTTTGAGTTTCGATGAAGTTCAATGGGAAACCCCAGCTAGCTCCTCTGAACCTGAAGCGACAGTCTAGCTGTCTAGCTTCTACCTAACACCGAGAAGTAAAGCATGTATGCCTTCAGTCGTCTTTCAACACCCTTTGTGCCTGACAAAACATGAAGGTTGGCAAGTTGACGTTGAGTCCGTCTCTCAAAGCCTGAGAAAACGCCCAGGTACCGTGCAGTGGTCGAAGGTAGCCAGAGCCGGCTCTCGGAGGCGGCCTTTGAGATCATGAGCCTGGGAAGCACCGCATGATACCACATGGGTCGTTCTCTAAATTAGGGTCCCTTTGTGAGTCGCCTAGGTAGTACGGCACCTCATAAAAAGGATCCCCAAGCGCCTAATTTAGGGAACTACCCACATGTTTTTTGAGGAGTGGACTTGTGGGTAGATTTTTGGCTTCAAGGTCTAGGGCTTCACGATTTGGAGTCTTCGGGTTTTTTGGAATTCGTTCGTTGAAGGGCTCACGGAATCAGGAGGGTCTACGTCGGCTTGCAGACCTGCTAAGCTCAGAATAGAAATTTTCGGAGACCTCAGAAGTCGTGACAGCAGGTACAGTGTAGAGTTGAAAGCCCAGCTGTTAGGTTTGGAGGGCTGCGGATGGTGGTGTTGTGTCTCATGTTTGGTGGCGCAATGGAGTTTTGGATTGAGATGTCGCCACCTCAAAATGTTGTCTCCTTCCTGACGCCGCTCCAGTCCCCGCCTAGTGCTCAGAGGCTTGAAAACAACGCATGGTAGCACATGGGGCTTAGGGAAACCGAGCAATCAATCCTCCGTCCTAAAGTGGCAAAATTGCAAGTCTGTTGGGTCTTCTGCCCAAATCGGAATCCCAAGCACACCGACATAAGCCTGAGCTTCTACTTTGCAACTGGCTGCCTTGCAGCTGGAACCTCAGGAACGATCTTCCCTTTGGCGTGATGGCTCAGCTGAAACCCTTTTGTCAGGTTTTGGAGCATCGTGGCCAGCATTTAAAGGGCTTCATTACGCCTTTGAAGATGGTGTTTTTTTCAACTTGATTGAGCAGCTGGTCGGGTGAACCCCAACCGAAATAATCAACAGGAACCCAAACCCTAAACCCCAGCAGCCCCTACCCTGCACCTCTCTTGCTTGTCGTTTCTCCAGGCAAAGCCGCAGAGCCGGGTTCAAAGGGGGCTCAGAGGAGTGCGAGAGGCCACAGCTAGCGGCTCAAAGCCGGTAGTCCCAAATCGTTGCGGGATGCCGCAGATGTGAGAACCTTGCGTTGGTTTGTTTTGGAGTTTCCACCCAAGCCGTTTAGAGCTTGTCAGGTGTTTATGGGAAATCGGTGCGAGTGCCTGTTTCCAGCTTCACTGCATCCGAGGAACCAGAATGCTGGCAAAAACCTCTCAGACGAGCTTCCGAGCATGAGCCCCTGGGGCAGGAAAGGGCGGCGGGCTCTTTAGCCTCCAAATCGGCGCCCCAAATCTGTTCCGTTCCGTACCTGAGTGACACTTAAGATCATCGCGACCTGGGTCTAAACCGCCTGGAACCGCAAGTCCTAACAACTCTAAGCCATTCAAAATGGCCAAAGCCGATCCAACTTCGGGCTGGAGTCCAGATTCCGGCGTGCCTGCATAGGCAGAGAGCGGCAGCGCTAGCCCACACAGCGCTTGTTTTTCTCTTCAAAAAAGATCGGGGCCCTGATGTTGAAAACTGCCAAGGGGGCACGAAATGAAGTTTCAGAATTGTCTTGGTGAGGGCATTTGTGGGTGCTCGTCTAAGGTCGGACAATGTGCTTTATCATGAGGGGAGCACTGTCCATGGTGAAGATCGTTCCCGTCGCGGACTCTTGCCTAAATTCGCAGCTCCGAAACTTTCATCCTGGCACCCTTCAATTCTAAGACCCAAGTGATGGGCCACCCTACAAGCGCTGAGTCCGATTAGGAAGCTGGATTTAACCTGTCCGGACTCCTCTAACCCAGCTGACGTCGGCTCTATCCCTGGACATCTCTGGGCCCTAGATCCCTACATGCTCTTGTGACACTATTGTACACGTACGTTATCCTGTTGAAAATTGGGTTCACAGGCTGAGTGGTAGCTGGCAGCCAGTTCTTTGCAGCAGTGCGAGCACACATGGTCCAGCTGGTTCGCCGGCACAAGTCACAAGAATTAGGCTACTTGTACAATGAACGGGTGCAGTGGCCTGATTTTGGGGTCCACTGCTTGCACGTGGGATCCCCGTCGACCCTTCACCTCCAACCCAGAATTAAATGGACCTCCATTGGCCTGAACCTGCCCAAAAGCAAGCTTGGTTCGCTACATTTCAAAGTATTTCATGCTCTCACCAGGTTCACTTCCTTGTTGCACGAGCATCCATGCCAGCATGGCATTCATGCCGCGGGCATCACAACATATCGTAACCTGAGAGTATAGGAGCATCATCTATGCTTCCCGGCAGCCATGCCAACATCCATGATGCCAGCGCATCTTTGCTACCAGAGCATCCAATTTGCAAAGCATCCAGACCCCAACCGCCGCGCAATCATGATTGCAATCATGATAGGGTCCATGCAAGTAGGGAATCGCATGCTACCAGCGCATCCATGCGCAGTTTCTATGCAACCAGAGCCGCTGCAGAATAGCGAGCCGTCATCACTCATCACAACATTCGCCGGCGACCTCGTGTGGAGGTTCCAGCTCGCCTGCGAGCTCTGGGCTGGGCGATTAAGGAGGAACAACGCCTCCTATCGGCTAGATTAGAACTGCGCTGGGTAAACTTGACACTCACCCTAGAGGGCTTTTCACGCCGCAGGTTTTTGATTTTGAGCTTCGGACTTGTGCTCTCGAGTTTTCTTCAGGGATTCGAGCAATTCCCGGCTGGGCTCCAGGCTCACGGTTTGTGGGCGTTGGGGTCTAGACGACACGCAGTGCCAAGGAGAAGCCCGACGTGTTCGAAACCCACTCCGCCTTCAGCCGCTTGCACTGACTGCTCTGGGAAAACTTGATAACTTAATTTCGACACTCAACATTGAGAACACCCTGAACCTCACAGCAAAACGCCCTAGGTCCCGAACGCAACCCTTGAACCCTAGCAGTCCTTGTCTCGAAGCCTGGATCCCTGAAGAGTTGGTGTTTGGTGGGTGCCAGGGTCGGCTTGGGACTTCTGAGACAGAGCGAAGATTCCACACGGAGAGGCAAGGAGAGCAACCCTCGAAGTATGAACACCTGGATAAGAGGCTGCAAAGCGGCTTCAAGCAAGTCTTAGAGTGTTCCGGCAAGGTGCAGGGATGTGTAGGGTTTACGTCTGCAGCTCACGAAGGACTTTCGCACAAAAGAACATAAACGGGATGGAAGAGATGTAGAAGAGATGTGGCAAGGCTTCCGCCAGGGTAAGCGACTTCTCGCCCGCTACCCGCCGCCTGGAAGAAAGTCGGGCTCAGGGCTTCAGGCTTTTGGGGGTTGAGGCCTTTAGGGGTTTCAGAGCCCGGGCGGCTTGGCAAGATTTTGGGGGACTCAGGTGTTTGTGCATCTTTCCAGGCTTGATGGTGGGAGTACACAGTTGCAAGGCCGGGGAGAGGCGCAGACCAAGTTTCCACTAGCTGGTTTCAACAAAGGATGTGCGCTGCTCATTTAACTACTCCTAGCAAGCATCTGAAGAGCGCAAAACAGATGCTGCTATGCAATGCTTCAATAACTGAAATTCTCTCAACAAGGGAAGTAGCCATGAGAGACTCGTTCTGATTTGCTGCCACTTGTTCTTTCTTTGTTCTTGCATCTACGGTTCAAAACGAAGGAACGGGTCGAAGTGCAAAGCCTTGCTTTCATAGCTATGTGCTAGTCCTAATGCACTCCCGATATCGCAAGCGGATGCTTGCAATGCAGTACAGCGCTGGTACTTTCTATCCTCCGAAAGTGTGCTGCAGCCTGCAACCATTCTATGTGCTTAGTGGTTTCCGGGCTCTGCTTCAGGAGCTCCCGAGTCTGTCGAAGTTCCAAGGCCTCGAGCCAAAAGCCTTCGAAGCCAAGACACTCCTACGAGCCCCAAACCTTGGAACCCTGAGACCGCAAATAAGGCCGCAAAGAATCGCAAAGTCCCCAAACTCCAACCCAACAAAGGGGTTAGGGCCTCGATTAGGGCCTTTGGGGCTTTTTGAGATTGGCGAAGCCCGCTGGCGAATCCAACTGGCGAGGCCGGGCCATGTGGCGGGCATCGAGACCTTCTTCAAGTTCCACAGGTGGGCTGGGCCTTACAACGGCACATGCGGTGCATTGCATGCTGCCGGGCCTTTTCTGAAACCTTCCAGACTCCGCGTGTTTGTGTGGCGGTTTGTGTGTTTGTGTGTATGCATGCATGCATGCAACTATGTCTAGACAACGGAACCTCGAAAGCCAAAAAATGCAGTGTTTTCCTGGTGTCTCGAGGGGATCGAAATCCCAGACGGATCTCAAACATCAAGGAGTGCCAAACTTTCCATGGAGGCAGCGCATCGATGAGCAGCTGGAGCCAAAATTGATGGTCTCTTGCCTGATTTTGCTTTTTAACCTGAGGTTTGAGGGCTTTGTTCGGCAAAGGTGCCTTGAACTTGAACCTCGAAGCTTTTCGCAGGCACGGAAGGAATCACGGAGACACCAGTGAAACTGCAAGTTCTGGCGCAAGCCTAACAGATCCAACTTGACATGTTGTTCGGAGATGGCCTTGGGCATCAGGCTTTAGGGCCTCTGGGGATTGGGTGCGTGATTCTCAACTGCAAACCTGCCTGAGCCTTAAGCTCTGAGCATTCCGCTCTAAAACGCTAGTCTCGACAAGGTGTCATCTTTGATGAATCCGCCTGCTGAGGCTCTCGGACTGGGTTTTAGGGTGGCACATATCTGATAAGACTTTAGGGGGTCCACATTCGTGTTGATTTGGGCTTGCTGGAGGGGCTGTCGAGGATACGCTGTCTGGGCCCGTCGCAGGTTCCAGAGGTGTTTGGGTATCTCGAGACTTCTGAGAGGTTGTTCAGCATTAAGAAAAAGAGTCGGACAGGCTTGAACATGACAGGCCTCAGCGAAAACAAGCCTCAAGGCAGGCACAGTTCGATCGGCTTCGGCATGTTACGATGAAGCGCACTTTGTTGTTTAGGGTTCTGGGGATTTTTCGACCTATACAGAGTTGATGAACAGCCCCCCGTGTAGCCTGTAGAAAGCATCGCATGATTGAAAGCCCTACGAGGTCTGGATCCTCCGCTATGACGAGTGGCAAGATCAGCCGGGGTGGACTCTGGGACATCACACGACAACTCAGAGATCGAAGCTGTATGAAGCTATGAAACTGTCAACCTCCTGCCTCCTAACCTGCGACATCCTGAAACGATATATCATTCTAAGACGACGAGCCCCAAAAGAGCGAAATCTCTCGGACTCAAAACTCTGCAGCCTCAAACCCTAACGACCCTCAGCAAATCGTGTCAATTGTTTTTGTTGTCTCCTCCTCACCCCCAACCTCAAACTGCCCTCAGAATGTGAGGAAGCAGATGCCAGACGGATTGAAGGGCTACCTTGCACGCATGCTTTGCGTGCAGTTTGCTGACACGCTGAAGCACTCAAACTTGAAGGAGAGGTAGGGTCCCAGCAGTCCCGGGCTCCGGGCAAGTTTGCCTCAAGTTCCCTCTGAAGTCACCAGTCGATAGGCCCGAATTGAGTCAGAATTCATGCGCAGCCCATCGCCCGGGAACTGCTGAGCTCAGCTCCCTCTACAAGCCAAAGTGTTTCACAACCTGGGACTCAAGTGGACCCCTAGATAAGGACATGAGTACGACTGGGACTGGGGCGCAGGCAGCTTGCACCATGGGCTTCAAAGAATCCAAAAAAAACCCTGAAGGTCCTGAATCCTGAACCTAGCTGTAACATCCTTTCGGGGTCCATCTGGTCCTTGAAGAGTGACCTTTGGGACCACTGAAGATCTGGCTGCGTGTTTGGATCTCCATGCCCTCAGATCCGACCATATAGGCTTTTGGGGCTTTGGACTTAGGATGAGCTTGTGGACTTCTTGTGGTGGTAAGAAGGTTGTGAAGTGCCTCGCTTTACCGTCGCATACCGTCGCGAAAATTCTGGCAGGGCCAGCTTTCGCGGCGACAATCAAGGAAAGCGCATAGACAGAACACCGAAAAGCAGGCTTCGAAAGGTGAAGAAGCCAGGTTCTTAAGAGTAGAGACGGGAAGTTGAGCCGTTGGCATGTACAAGGAAAACTCTCATAAGTGACATGCTCAGTCCTTCATGGCGAGCTTGTGGGCCGAAGCCCTCACCTGTGCATGCTTCTGCCGCTGTGGCGGAGAATGCTCGGTAGTCGACTACCCATTCGGCAACGCCCGACCGTTCAAAAGATCAAGGCACATGCAAGTGGCGCTCGTCAGTAAGGAGTTTCCCTGCCCCTTCCGCCAAAGCACTTGGCCTCGCGAAACAGAAGAAACAAATGTCGAGCATGACCCCGAAGCGTCTCCCAGTTGCAACCAGGAAGGTGTGACCAAAGTTTGGACGTCGACAAAAAAGCATGGGCATGGACAGCAACACAAGCCATTAGCCATTGCACAGCGTACATGGCCCCAGAGCACGGCAATCTTCCCAGAGAAGAGGTGGCTGACGTCAAGCATGTTTGAAGGGGGCACACCACGGCAGCGAGCATAATTCCCAATGGTCTTGATGGGCACGAATTCGTGTCCTCAGAATTCACACCACTTTCCACAAAAACAAAAGCAAACATGAGCCTCATCTAAGGTGCATGTGGGTATGCCCAAACCCGCCTAATACACGTTTGAAGCTGCTCAGGCCAGTTTTTTCAGTATCAGGATGTGGAGTTTAGGTTTGGTAAAGTTTTGCGAGCCTTTGGGGCACGCAAGGTGCGAGAGGATCCAAATCCGCAAGCGATTGCAAACCCTGAGCCCCCAACTTCAAAAGCTTAGGTTAAGTCTGAGCTTCAGCTCAGGGTTAAGGGGGGAACCCGGAGGTACCATAAGCCTAAAACCTTGGACCCGACACGCTGCAGCCAGCGCTTTGGCGGTCCCGGTCCCGCAGAGTCATTACTCCCACCATGGTGTGTAGTATGTCTTGCAGCAGCATACTTTTATGCAGCATCATCTTAGACTTTCAGAAGCATTTTCAGAGATCCTGTCTCAGCTGTACGCAAAGGTTCAGGTTCGGTGCGCAACCTCTCATGTATTGAAAAGCTTAGGAGGCTACTTTCTAGTAGCACGGTTTCGGGGCGCATGGCACAGTCGTAGTCTTTGCGAGAGGAGGCAATGTGGTTTCATGAAGTCAGGAGATTCTGCCTGCCAATGGTTCCTGCAGCAGCACGCTTCTGACCGTTTCGTGCGTGAAAAGGCAAGACTGCACCTGCACCTTGAATCCTGAATCGTATTAAGCCCTACTTGGGGTTACGTAGTGCCGGTTTGAACTACTCGCACACACACACACACACACACAGACACACAGACACAGAGACAGAGAGACGCGTGCGCGCAGATGAGCCTGCTGAACAGGTTGTCATATTCTACTCACTGCATCGTCTGTTGCGGTGTGCGAGAAAACTTGTGCAGGTCGCACTTGAATGTCTCCAAGCGTATCAACCCACAGTCTGAGCCCCCCCTTGCTGGGAATCCAACTGATGGCAATGCCCCCTGCACTCAACTCAGCAGCCTTCCGTACTCTTCAAGAAGCTTCAACCTCAAAGACTCGTGCAACCTGTCACGCCTTGCGACCGAAGAGAAGGAACAGAGAGAAACGTGGAAAGGCGCAGGTAAAACCAGGAAGGCAACAGTGAACATGAACATGAAAAGCGTATGGGCGCTCAAATGGCTCGGTCCTGCGCTGCACGCATTCCGTGAAGAGAAGAGAGCGTTCCATGTGACGTGGCACATCGCCCAAGAAACAGAAGAAAAGAGGCACGACGTCAACTTATGGTTTAGTTGCAGCAGGTGTGGTGACCTAGATGACATCCTACCTGGGACAACAGATGGCCGAAGATGTGCTACCTTGAAGTATACTCTGCGCTTTGACTTCCAACAATCGGCCGCCTCTGTCTGCAAGCTTTGTATGCTATGTTATTAAAAGTTTTGGTTGAAAATCTTCGAGTCAACTGCACGAAGGAGCAGAAACATTTAGGCAGCCGTGTATGTCTTCAAAACTCAAAGCAAACCGGTATCAAACTTAAGGCGGTTTCTGGTTCTGGCACGTGCATTCAGAGCAAGGAGAACAGAACATAGATGACATGATAAATGCTCTACACAAGCTAATGGCCAGCTTCCGCATGCGGTCATCGACGATCATTCATGTCTGTGGCGTTTGGGTATACTGGATTGGTGCATGATCCAGGTATGTTGAAAAGATGTCTGATCAAGGTCATCTGAACTTTGCTGCTGCTGTGACGGGGCCAATTGCCGCACCGCCTGCCTGTGCAGAAGGTTCACACACACACACACACACACACACACACACACACACACACCCACCCACCCACCCACACCCACCCACCCACCCACCCACACACACACACACACCCACCCACCCACCCACCCACCCATCCACCCACCCACCCACCCACCCACCCACCCACCCTCCACACCGTCAAGCATACTAGGTAGCCCGATGCTCAAGTCAGGCTCCCTTGCGCTTACCAAGCCCGCTTAGGTTCAGGCTTCGGAGAGCCCAAGCAAAGATTGAAACCCAATCTTAAAGTTCCTCACAACTTATTAAACTAGCACCTCCCCAGCAAACCTTGAGATTCCCATACGAGAAAGCTGATCTTTCTGAGGCCGACACGCTGCTCCAGGACAGGAGGCTTCAAGGTTCCTTTCTGGGATTGACGGCTTTGTGGTTCGAAGTTCTTGTTAAAGAATCCTACCCTGGCATGTGGAATGTTCCATCTATGTCCTGCTCTCTTGCCCTAATTGTTTTTTGATTGCATGCTCCATCTTGGCAAACGAGCTTTTCCAGAGTGGACGCTTGAATCGACGTTGTCGTCGGAATTACGAATCTTGATCGCCTTGCCTTGTCCAATCCACCTCGCTGCCCAAGCTTACAGCCCGTGGTGTCCATTCATTCATTGGGCTCGTTCAGTTTCTGGTCAGAAAGGCCCTCATGGCAGCTCGCTGGCCAAGGAAAGTACCACAGGAGCTGAGCTCCCAACTCTTCCCAGTGTTGAATCCGATCCCCGGTGGTACTGACTCAACGAGACCATCTATTTTGGGGGGCTTTCTCCCTTCGGAGGCTTCAGAGGGCTCTTTGGGCTCTTTCACCCTCTTGTCAGATGCCTGGACAGCAATGTACAAGTCCCGATCACCACATCCCCGAAGCCCACAGATCTTTACATTGCGGATCATTGCGGACCGATGTCTGCCTTTGCAATGACAGGAAGAGTTTACACATGCGTATCTGACGCTAGGAGCTGCGGCGGTACAGCGCAGACGTCACCACGAGGAGAAGTTTTGCTGTTTTTGTTGCCTTGTTATCCCCCCAGGTGTGTAGAAGCTACGGAGTGACACAGTGTAGCTCCATATGTGGACGTGGCCATACGTGGCCTCTGAGCCCCCTCCCGATGGGCTTTTGACAGAAACGTTAGGGGTCCCTCACTCTGTACCTCGATGGTAAGATTATGGAAGATGGTTTCCGCCCTAAGCCCAGCGTGATCTCGCGTGAAGCCACCAGCACCCTCCCGCCCAAGCCATGAGCCTCTTGGCCGGCAACCCTGCTAAGCCTTAACCGTTACTGGCTCCGGACTGAACAGATGACCTAACAGTTGGGGTTTGTTTGAGGGCATTGAGGTGTGGCATGTTGAGTTGGTGTTTTGGGGGTGATGGATTGGGCTGTTGGATTTTTTCTGCCCCACAGACAAACGCACCCTGAAAGGGTTGGTGGCCCGAGTCATAGGAGATGACTCACCAGCTCCGCAGATATGAAGCTCCCAAGCCATGGTATTCTGAATGCCTGGACCCTATAACAACTGCTTGAACTGCCACGGGATATGCGATCCTTCAGACACTGCCTGAGCAGTCAAAGGTTGCAACATATGGAGACCGTTTAACCTTCGAGCCCCACAGGATTGAGGATGTGTACACAGTGTTAAGTGTAAAGGTTGCTGAGGGTTGCCCCTTTGACCTCTCGCGGTTTCAAGGATGTCGGACTTGTGTGGGACAGGCCCAAAGCCTTGGCTTCTTTCAGTTCATGCACCGTGCTGATTCACCGAAGCCGCTTCGAATTCAAGCTCCATTCCAGCCACTGTTGCTCCCTTCTCCCCGCTCCTGCCGCTCGCCTGTTTGATGCCCTTTTACAAAGCCTGGAGCCTCTCGCCCACCAGCCCGAAGTTGACGTACCAGGCCAGTAGCGTTTATGGCTCTCAATAAGGCCTGGGAGGCCCAACCGTTCATCATTCCCCGCCACGAGCCGGATCCTACGCCCCAGCGCCAATCACAGCTTTGGGACACAGCCGAGGTCTCCTGCAGATTTCTCAATTCCATGGCAGGCAATCGGCTTCGGACCGTGCTTCCGACCGACATGCTCCCCGGCTTACTCATTTTCATTTGTTGGTTTAGAGGCTTGGAGGGTGGGTCTGGGCATTTTTTCAGGGGAAGCAGGGACGGTTGCTGAGCCTCTGTAAGGGCTCCAGTAGGTTTGCGCAGATCTTCGGCTCCGGAACCATTTGAATCCCGGACTCACACGACCCAAGCGTCCACGTGACACAAAACCCGGCATGCCAACCTGGTCAAATCCAGAGATTCGTGTACACCAATCCACCAAAAGTCGTCATGCCTGAAGGTGCAAAGGCCTCGAGACACACCAAAATCCTGAACCTGTTGTTTGCCGATGAAGGTTAATTTTTCAGGATTTGGGAGTCCACGGATCGATGCGAAGACTTGGGATCCTCCGCTAGCCTCAGAGAGGTCGTCGCGCAGCTTCCTATAATTATAACCCTCCACCCAACAGAGCGATGTAGGGCGTCTAAACGGAACACCAAGCCCTACACATCTTGAACTGCATGACCACTCGGGTGCTTCGGTTTCATGTTAGGAGAGCTACAAAGCTTCTGGCGGGGGAGTGAGGAGGGGGGAGGGCCGCGAGACGGAGCTTGTGTTGATTTCTTGCGTTTGAACCAGGCCTCTTCTGATGTTGTTTAGAGTTTAGTGTAGCTACGGCCATGGCTTGATAGTGTAACTGTCCTTGGTGACCCTTATGGTCGGCGCACGTGGTATGCCAGAGCATGGTTGCGCTGTGCCACTGCAGCCCACTGACGCGAGCGCGCCGATGTCACGCTGCAGGACGCCTGAGGATTTCACATTCAAAACACCACACTTTCCCGCCAGCTGAAGCAAGCAACCGTTCTTGTTGACTAACGTCTGCAGTTTGCATTCTTTGTCCGAAGACTGTGAAGAGTTTGCACAGCAGAGGTTCACGTGGGTGTGTGGCCAGCAGGTCAAGGCCCAATCGGGGGAGAGCCAGGGAAGGGGAAAGAACTTGTAGGCTGCAGATTTTGGACCGCCCTGGGCTGAACAACCTACTTAAAAGGAAGAGTTGTAAGTGGCTCGGAGGGGCTTAGAGGAGCAAGAACATGGACAGGGGTTCAGAATCTCGTCTGAAAACTCAAGGCCCTTCAATGGGTCAGACCTCTACAGGCTATCCTATTGTCACCGAGTGTCGACTTTTTAGCAGGGAGTTTGGAGTTTCGCGCCTGGCGTGTCGAAGCAGACCTGCAGCATGTGATTGGTAAAGAGATCAGGCGACTGGCTGTGTCATTCATTCCATGCCAGCCAGGTCTTGCTAGACATTTCGTAGCTCCCGGACCCATCTCAGGTATGAGGGTCCAGCAATTTGTCCATAGACTTCTGAAACCCCTTAGTGACAGGTGAAGAACACCTTCTTGGACGATGTGCTTCCAGAGGCTTCATCCAACGAATCCACGCTGACCGCAGAGGCCACGGTGAGGGTTTTCTACACATGTCTACGGACTGTCTACGCCTGAAGGTTTAAACATGTTTAAACAGTCTGAGAGGGCATTTGGCATTCGTTCAGGTTGGCGAGGCTGATGATGGTTGCCTTTATGTTTGCCTAGACCAGAGCTTAGGTTGAAGGGTTAGTCGGCCACAGCTCCACATAAATGAAATACCAGCAAACACATAACCGCCACAACCTTTGGACCCTGACGTCCTTTTTTTGGGCAAACTGGTGGCGACAGGCTCCGAACCACCCTCGAACTCCCACCCTTGAACACTGAGCCAATCGCTTTGGAGGCCCATACGTGCCCGGAGCTTACACGGCGCCGCAGCGATGCCCAGTCGAGCAGCTCCGGCAGCCACGGTGCAGGAGGGAATGTCATCAGCCAAAGATGCTTTTTCCGCTAACGATCCGAACTGTGCATCATATCTTGAGCCCGGCAAACTGACCCCAAATGCCCTCCGTTGAATGCTGAAAAGCCTATCTTTGCATGAGTCGCGCCGCGGCGCACGTGACCGGGGTACGGCTCTCGCCTAGGGGCACTCGCTTTTGGGTCCACATCGTGCTCTCGCCCAGGTCTCGTGCGCATTCCATAATCGGAACGAGCACTGATTTGGGCTCAATCGCTCGGTCTCACGAAAACGTGCCAGGAGCGCAACTTCCTGCATTTTTTCGAGCCCTTGGATAGGTTTGGGGATTTGCATTCTGCCCCACATGTGCCCAGGTTAGACGAGGTTGCTCCTGAGAAATTAGACAGAGACGGACAAGTGAGAAAGAAGTACTTTTACGTGAGGAGGCTTACAACGCACAACTTGTGAGCCCTCTGGACCGTCCACCGTAGTTGTGTCATCTGTGGCCTTGAATCAACACTGCTGTTCTCGATTCACGTCCGGCGCCCCTACATGCCTTAGTAGACAAAAGAAAGCCCGAGCACAGGACAGGAGAGCCTGCCTCCAAACGTAGAGATGCCAAACACCTTGCTGCACCTGGGGCTTATGTCAGGAGCTCCCTCAAAAGTTCCGAGCTTTGCAGCGTTTGGAGCTTCAAGGTCGAAGGTTGCAGTGCTGATTCTTCCAGAGCTTCTACCTGAACTATGGCATGTTGAATTAGCTGCCGAATCATATCCACTCTCAGCCTCAAAGCTGGAATCTCAAGTCGGGTTAGGCACATGACCTCGTGCCGTTTGCTGAGTTCCGGGTTCAGGGTACAGGTACGTGGTTTAGGGATCAGGGCGAAGCAGCAACCGCAAAGTGAGACATCGCTCAATTCTTTTGGCACTAACTTTCAAATATTGGCCGCCCGTTGCATTCCTTGATCCTTCAACAGTTCGAGCCTTCAACCCCAGGCTTGTGCCAGACCTATAGGGCTTTGACAGCTTAAGATTGGAGTCTCTCAACTTTCTTCTCTCGCAGGAAGGATCTTTCGGGGATGGGTCACAGCCATATGGCCAGCAGCAATCAAAAGTCCTAAACCGTCTCATCGACGTTGTGCTACAAGGATCCATACTTTCTAACTCATTACCTAGGGTGCGGCTGACAAGCACAGAATCTAAATGGAATTCCCGAATGTCGCCCTAAGCCGCGTAAGCCCTATCGAGCATCCTGAACCCCTCAGAACCTTCCTACGAGTGACCCAAGGACCTTGTCTACACCTCCAGCAACGATGCTTGGGGACGAGTGGCACCTGGACCCCATGCGGTTTAAATCCGGGGTTAGGGGCAGGGTTTTGTGTTTCTTTTTGTGGCACACGATGGAGCTGATCAGTCCTCAACCTAAGTGTTCGGATGAGAGTGGTTGGGGGCACACTCGTCTGTCTTCAGGTCCCGTAGTCCTCAACTTCGGTCCGGGGCTAAAACGCGCAACGCTTTCTCTCAAGCCCGGGATGAACTTTCAGATCAGTTCTTGAACCTTGAAGTTTCCGGATGTATGTAAACGAACTGAACACTTTCAGGCTTGGGGCAGCTTCGGTTTGGGGATGGTTCGGGAGCTTAATCTCTAGCTGGCTGCGACACGCCCAAAGACAGTTTCCACACATGTAGCAGAACTTGTTGCCAGGGTTTGAGTTTGTAAGGTTTAGAGATTGGGCATATTCAAGGGAGTCTACTGCTCCGAAAATTTACGCCTTGGGACCCACGGTAGCCAAGGAAGACAGAGGCTCTAACAAAATACACCTCCAGTGCCAGGACTCAGTTGGCAACTGCATGGGCCCAGTCTCTTGGAAGAAGGGTTAAGACGGTTGAGAGCTGCAGTCGAGGCTTACGTTTTTCTGGTGGCTTCAAACCACATCCCTGAACATGAACATCCCCAACCTAAATCAGCGCGCCGCACTCAAAGTTCAAAATGCTTTCAGCATGAAGGATGCTCCAAAGCCTCTTTGAGGGGTATGGTCGGGCTTTGTAAGCAAAAGTGGGACCTGAGGTCGTGGAGCCACTCAGCTCGCAAGGCATCGACGACTTCCGCCGCGCGACGCGTGAGACGGGGCAGCTTTTGGAAGCACTTCAGGCACGGAGTCAAGGAGTAGGGCTGAGCGGAGTAGGACATATTACTGTAAGGTTCGAGGATGTCGGTGTCTCAGTGGCTGGAGGGTTGCTGGAGCAGGCCTTTTACAGCTTCAGGTTTTGGCAGCAAGGCTTGGAGGCTTCGAGTTGCCCCGCATCTGATAAACTTGCTATTGAGTCTGAGGGGTTTTTATGGACAGAGCTCAGGGCTTAAGCTCGGAATCAGCAGCCCATTCTCCAGGGTGCTTTGCTGGTTTGCGCGGGGCTTAGGAGACTTAGGGTCGGAGCTCAGTGTAACCGTGCTGGTGTGCCATCACGGAGTTTGGGAAAGGTAAGTTTTTGTGCAAAGAGCTGAAGTCCTTCGGCTTGAAATCGCTTCAACTCTGCATCAAGACGAACCAACCAAGAAAATTAAGTGAGATGTGTCTCGATGCGTAGACGCGCGTCTGAAACACTCTGAATCACCTGAACAAGTCGAATACAATCACATCCCTCAAAGCTTGGCAAGCTACTCGAATAGCAAGCTATCTGCGAGGCGATGCCAGGGTTGCCCTTTGCGGACATCGTTCTCAGCTTCGTGGCTGTGAAGGGTGGGTGGTTTTTGTTAGAATCTGAGTGATCAAGACTTTGGCTTAATGGCTTGGCATTGTTTCAGTTAGGCCGCTACCACCCGAAGAGCTGCCACCGAAGCTGTCGGATGCCTTTCAGTGATGCCTGATCCGTCTAGAGTGACCATCTCAGCACATCGACGTCGATATCCATCTCATCAAGGAAGACGATAGTGGGTTGTCTCGGTTGTCCCGGAACATGCAGGAACCAAATTTCATGCCTGAATTTCTTGTTGACTAGAGTGCGTACAGTCACGTGCGCTCTCGCCAGAGAAGCATGTGCCTTCCGGGCGCCAACTGCCCGGAGGGCGCCGGTCTCAGACCGATGCCAGGATCGATGCTGCAAGTCGGTGCACGGGTCGTTTTCTGCAGCTATCCTGCAGGGGGCGTGCAATTCTGGGGGTGAGCCGTCGAGGCTTTTTCGGCCTGTCGGGCTCCAATACGCTCCAGGCAGCACAACTGGAGCTTGAGGCATGCGCAGGCACGTTCATTCGATGGTGTGACCCTCAACACGTCAGAAGGGCTCTTCTCCCTTCAAAGGCATGTGACCTGCGCAGTTCGCCTGTGATGTGCTGGAATTCTTGCTTCAGCATCCTGATTTTGACCGGCACATCTTCCGTCGAAGTTCAAGATGTCAGGGTGCTCAGACTGGGCCGTAGAGTGCCGCGCTGAGATTTGAAACTTCCCAAACCCAACCCATACATGTGCCTCCCCACGACAACTTTCGTCCCCTCCTCTCCAAGGCTCAGTTTGTTGAACTTGTGTTTAACGTGCAAATATGGCCCTAAGACTCTCCGAAGTCCCAAGAGTCAGCTTTTGCAAACCAAAGCTCCAAATCATGACATTCCAAATCCTTGCTCCTCCCGGTCGGCATTAGCTGCAAGCTGCACTCAGGTTCCCATCCTCCGATGGCGGGCCACCACGCCGAGTTGGCATGTCTCCCCATGCTGCCAGAGGCACAGCGTGAAACCTTGAACTTGTTGGTTTCGAATCCTGTGTCTTTGCTGATGGTTAGCCACGGGTTCTAAAGATTTAGAGTCAGGGAACCGTCAAGGGTTGACCAAGGTCTTCCGAAGGGCTTGATCAAGTGTGGGCTTGAGTTCTGCTGGAGTCTTGTAGGGCACTTGGGGGGTTCGAAGCGGGGTCTTTGCGCTTACCAAGAGCAGGATCAAAACGTTGGACCTTCACCGGCAAACCGCAGCTGGTGACCTGTGGTGCGGTACGCATGCCTCTACTTGTGTGATGTTTCCTTTTCCTGATTTCTGCGCGACTGAAGGTTTGTCACAGCTTTGTTCTGGCATGCTGCCTCTATGTCCATGCTACCTCGCGGGCAAGCCTACCTCCCGAAAGCCCATGTTCATCGTCGTCAGACAGCATGAACAAGAACAAGCACCTAGCAACCTTCAGTTGCACACAGGCAACGCGGCAAGCCACATGAAGACGAACAATGAACGTAACGTCAAAGGTTAAAACAAAAAACATCAAGCAAACGCCATATCAGGCCCCAGGTTGGCCAAGCCCCTAGTCCCTAAAGGTTGCCGGCCCTCCAGCGGTGCTGAGCAGCTTTGCCACATGAGGATAGGGGGCATTCGGGGAGATACCGGGTAGTTCGGCCCGAGCCCTGGGCCATGTTCGGGTTTTCTTCTCAGGCTGCGAAGAGAGCACACTGGATGCTTTTACGTTCTCGGATCCATTGCGGGTCTTGCCTCTTAAAGTTTAGGGCTCGGTCTCTTGAAGCAAGTTTGTAGAGTCAGGTTGCCTCCACGCCGGACCAAGATCGCATAATCGTGAGCTCCAGGCTATGTGCCCTAAGCTCTTAGGTGTTTAGTCTGCCTTGGAAGCAGCCTCAGTTTTGAGCCCCCAAGCTTTCAAATCCCAATCTGCCCAGATATCCACATAGGCCGAATCCGCAAGCTTCCTCTCAGCTCTGCTGGGCTCTGCTGGGCTCTGCTGGGCTCTGCTAACCCCCTGGAGTCCCTAGAGGGCCCCAAGCCACTTCAAGGCACGTTGCCCTGCCAACAAGAAGCAACCTACGGTGCTTGGAAGCCGGCTGGTGCGGACACGGAGGTGCCCCCCCCACAAACTGTCCGCGGAAATATGGGGGGGGGGGGGGGGGGAATCCGGCTGAGGCTTCGCGGAACCTTTGTCATAGTGGGGCAACATTTTCTTTTTTAAGGGCACTTAAACTGAATGGACATGTAAATATTGAATACTATCCCAACCATGAACTAGGGAGTGGAGCCCGCATATGGAGGGCGTGGTCCTGAAACCCGGAGCAGCCCCAAACCCGTCTTGTAAGAACCAAAGACAACTCAATCCCAGACGCGGTCCAGTGCGCCAGAAGCCACCCGTAAACATTGAAAACTGGTTGATGTTGTCGGGGTTCAGTGCCGGAGTTTGTCACATTGTTCTTCGCCAACACCCAAATGCGACTATCAAAACTCTCACTCCGAAACGACGCTACCTGACGACCTACATTTCCGAAGGCTGATACTGCGGAACCCCAGAACAGCGACTCAGACAAGGCCTCGCCACTGAGCTCAGACGTCCCTTGGCAGGCGTGAGTTCTTCAACGCATGGCCCCGAAGCCCAAGTCTCAAAACCACACGTCCTTGACCAGCTGAGCTCTCCGGTCCAAAGCTCGGGGGCATTGAGTCGTGGGAGTCGTGTGAGCCTTCACTTTTGCCAGATTCCAAGGCCAGTCCTTGCGACATCCATGTCCAGGGCTGGACCACCAACCATGCCGCTCGGAAATCGGGCTTAGATGGGCTCACGTGCACCCAGGAGCCTCATCAAGCCAAGCCGAGGCTTCCAAAGTCTCAATGGGTAAGCCCAGTTGTGTTCCGTTTTGGTTCCGTTTTTCTTTTGCTGAAGGCCTTGGACTGCACATGCCGTGTTTTGTGCTATGATTGCGCTCTGCGCCGCTTAGCGCCGCAACCCCCCCCCCCCCCCCCCGCGAGAGCACCACCCACACAAGCTCTTACTTGGTATCGGTTGCCAGCTCATGCCGAGGTAAATCAAACGCTTGCTGAGGCGCCATCTGGGTGGGCCGCTTGGCAAATATGTGCTGAGGGCTGCAATTAGGATTTGTTTCTGCCCTGTTTGGTGGGCTTCTCTTGCTCGCAGAGAGAAATGTGTTGTGCGGCAGCCCTTCTCAGAAGAACAAGGCCTGTGAGAAGGGATGGAACGTTTTAGGCTCGGTGGCTCGAAATTGGCCTGGCGAGCTGGGTGTACAGAAGAGTACTATATAGATTCAGATATGTGATGACATGTGAAGGAGGAGGTTGGTAAAGCGAAGTTATGGGGGGAGCCCTCAAAAAGGGTAAAAATGAAGGTTTGTGTTCAAGACGCGAAAAAAGAAGACGTTCTTGCATCTTCACATATCTCAGACTTGCTGCCACTCAAGACGGAGTGTCCCTCTTTAGTAGCTGCCGGGTGGAGCATGATCTTTCGGAACCGATGCTTTGCTCAGGGAGACTCTGTGAGAAGCATTGAACATGACAATAAATGATGCATGGAAGAGACAGGTCTTCCGGGCCCCAACCATGCGGGGCTTAGCTATGGGGGGGTTGGGAGTCTCAGTTGTAGTTCGTTGGTAGCTGCAAGTACCATGATCTTCGAAACGGGTTTCCGGTTCCGGCTTGGGAGACTTGGAAGGGAGAGTCAATCACGAAGACCTTCAAGTGAGGACTCGAAACGCAACAGCCTTTTCGCCTTAAACGCTCGCGGCTCTTATCGTGATGGACTGCAAGTATAAATGCTTCAGTGCTTGTTGGATTTGCCGTTGCAGCTTCAGATACTACCCCGGACTCAACCAACAAACGAAATCCCAAAAACCCCAAACCTTGAAACCTACAACCCTCAGCCCAAAGCCTTGCCACACCGAGGATGGCTATGCTGCAAAAGCGAAGTCGAAGGCGAAGTCTGCGAAGAAGCACAACCCAGCATCCCGACTCGGATTTGAGACTTCGGGCCACTTCAGGCCACGGTCTTGGCAAACAATTTTCTTCATGCCTTCAGAACGCGACATGGATGGGCGGAATTTGGCACAGGTGCACGAGTGCCACCAGATATTACTCCTGCTATTTCTTCTAGGCTCTTCTCGAATCCTACGAGATCTGAGTCCCTGGCAGAGTGCCAATGACAATTCTTCAGGGCAATGTTAGCTTGAAAATAGCAGCTGCAAAACCACCACCCGAGCACGCGATCAACCTGAATCCAAATCCCCAACCTTCATTGAGGATTTCGAAGTGCAGGAGCCCCTCCCTCAGACACATTCACTCACACGCGGAGAGGGAGGGAGAGAGAGAGAAAGAGAGAGAAAGAAACACTCCGGGCAACCCTCCCTAATGGGGGAGGGTTAGGTGCGCAGAAAGACAAAGAGAGAGAGAGAGAGAGAGAGAGAGAGAGAGTAGGGCTGTACAAAACGAGATCCAACGACGACATGCTGGCCGACAACTCGAGGGGACCGAAAGTGAAAGCTCCACAGGGCACCCCTCTGACCGATGGGAGCCCACGCCACGGACTACAACCACGAGAGCCTGGACCATCTGGAGCCGCCTTCAACCGCTACCCGAAGAATCCCAAGAAGAGAGCAACGACACCAACGCGGACGAGCCGAAGCCTGACAAAGCGAACGACGAACACAAGGGGACCAACGGGAACGCCCACGAGCTGAACGAACAGAGGCCTGCCGCCAAGAGACCAAGAAAAACACCAACACGAGAGGGCCTGGGCCGACAGCACAACCAATGCCATCCGAGAGGAACTGCAGGGCACCAGCACGGTGGAAATCCAGAGCATCACCGAGAACCAGTCCATGGACGTCCCCGACGACCAGATCGACGAGGCCCCCGAGAACCGGACCGACGGCATCGAGAAGGAGCCCCTGAACCCCCCCAACGACCCGATCGACGAGGCCCCGAAAAACCAGACCGACAGCATCGAGGAGGAGCCCGAGAAGAACAAGAAAAAGCACAAACGAGGTGACCCGGAGAGGACCCCTCAAGCACCGCGACAACGGCCTCGCCGAGAGCCCCAACAAGAGACGAGCAGGACGATGGGACCGGAAGTTTCGGAAACCCAAAACATGCCACCCAAAGCTCTGGACACCGAGACGGCCGAGATAGCTGCAGATGAGCACGTGACTGGGGACCGAGCAGTTTGCAGACAACGACGGGGAACAGCCCTCCATGAGCGAGAGAGAGAGAGAGAGAGAGAGAGAGAGAGAGAGAGAGAGAGACAGAGAGAGAAAGAGAGAGAGAGAGAGAGGAAAGAAAGAAAGAGAGAGAGGCGACCTCATGGAGGCCAGGGGAAGATTGCGGAGGCTCTTGGAATTCCTGGAGCAACCGGTAGCAGCTGAAGTACGAGAAGCAATAAATAGACAGATGGTTGGCAGCATGGTGGGGACAAGACCGAGAAGTACAAGTGATAGAAGACAGCCAAGAAGAGCACGGAGAGAGCCGGGGGAAGCAAGGTGGCGAAGGACGACCCGAGCAAAGTGACTCAAGGCCCAAAGAAGAGTTACCAGACCAGGGGAAACCAGTAAGGGAACGAGGGCAAGTACAAGACGATGGCAAGAACCAGATGGCTACTGAAGGGGAACTACGAGCACCAGATCGAGGAGGAGACGATTCTGCAGAGCAAGCTGAAGTAGCCCCGGAAAGAGTGCAAGAAGAGGGAGAGAGAAGATGGCCGAAGCGCAGACGGACGATGACCTCACAGACAAGGAAACAGAGGCAGAGGAACGGTTCCTCAAGCCCCGTAGAAAAAGAAGAAGAACGGGGCGCAGCGCGAGGACTGAAGAGGAACCTCGAGACCAACTGAAGGGCACGTAGCAAGAGGAAACCTAGTAAACCTTGACCCAGAGAACGCCATAAAGGGGAAGAAGGGGATCCTTGACTTGATAGAATAGTGTTGGTCTGTAAACACAGAGTTGTCCCACAGAGTGTTGTTGAAAGAAGGACCCCAAATCCTACAGAGAGTGCCAAGTACAGGCGAATCACCGCCGGGAACAGCCCACTTGATGGGAGACACCCACTAAGGTCCGCAGGACTAAGGACGCACAGGGCAACGCCCCTGGAGAAGGAGACGGGGGTTTTACCCAGACGGCGGTTTTACCCTATCTTTCGGGGGAGTTGCAAACCTTCTCGCGTCTAAGGGGTAAGTTGCACTTGAGACCGGATTCGGGCGCGCCCGCGCGCAGGGGCTTTCGGGCCCCTAAGCCCAGCACAAGAAGAAGAAGAAGAAGAAGAAGAAGAAGAAGAAGAAGAAGAAGACAGAGAAAGAGGGAGAGAGAGATGATTTGGAGGTCCAAATGCAGTGGCAGGTTCAGGATTCGAAGCCAGGGACAGGTTAAACCCAAAGCTGAAGAGCCCAATCCATTAGATTCTGTGCCATGGCTCAATTCCGCAGCATCCCAGGGACAGAAGATCTGGTGCCATTTCTTCATTGACCCCGTGATGCTCCGGAATGGTTTCGACGTCAACAAGAAGCTCATAGGCCCACTGGAAGTCTGGAAGCTAGTGTACGACCTTGGGGCCCCAAATCCAAATCTGAGTCTTAAGAGCCAAAGCCCCACTCACTCTCTACAGCCCAGAATACCCTGTTAAGCGACACCGAACAACTCTGAGTTGAAATCCTTGAGTCGGGCACGCTGGAGTTGAAGATAGTCCAACATGCCCTGAAGCCCAAAAAATCGTTGTGATGCTTTGTTGTGGGTTGAGGGCGCTTGAAGTTTGACGGTGAGAGGGGTTTTGAAGGTGCCTTGAAGGCAATTTCGGGTTTAGGACCTGGGTCCTTGGGCTCGGCTGGGCTTCGGTCAGATGATGTCAGATATTGACAGATCAGATGTGTCACATCAATCCCACTGCTTGCGGGCTGAGATCAAAACTCTGAGCCCTGATTTTGGACTTCGGATGCCATGCACCTGAATCCTGTAGTTGCCCGTAACTGTTGCAAAGTGCACACTCAGGTTGGGACAGAAATGGAAAGAAGAGCTGAAAGCATTGCAGCAGATCCACGTGCTCAAACCCGACACATGCCCCGCAAACACCAGGCCACGGTGGGGCCAACACAAAGCGCATCTACGAGGAGACAGGCGGGGCAGCCGGGTTGACGCCCACAAAACCGCCCTACGCCGTAAATCTTTCAGCGTCTTTGCCACCAAGGTGCCAAGATTCGGCTGCGGGGCCGTGGCAGCGGCCATGTCGAGGTCAATAAGCAGCATCGAGAGATGTGCCTTACAGGAAGGCGGCAACGCCGAGTCTTACCTTAAAGCTTCCCTTACACCGAGAACCCAAAGCCCTGAGCGCAAGACCCGGAACCCTGATTCTTAAGCAGCCCCCAGCTCCTGATATCAGTACACTCCGAAGCCTGACAGCATCCGAAGCTCCGTACCATCTATGAGGCCTGACTCCCGAATCCCACACCTCAGACTTTACACCCTAAACACCCAAACCGAGAACACCAAGCCCGCAGAGAGAGAGAGAGAGAGGGAGAGAAAATGCAAACACAAGAAGCAAAAGTCAAGAAAGAAACAAGAGAGAAATTGAGCGAGGGCGATCGTGGCGAAGCCCCCGTGCACCTGATGCTGGCAGTCCCTGGCTGAGCAAAGTATAGTTATAGTTATTTTGTTTGCTTGTCGGCAATGCCTGCGCTTTGTGTGTTTGTGTGTGTGTGTGTCTTCGGAAATTTTGCAGAATTGACATTGAGGATGCGAGGGCTGTGGGCTGTGAGGGTTGAAATGTTGTTGGATTCAGAAGGTTTGTGCGAGACTCTCTAGATACTTCAAGCCTGTCTTTGTGATACATGAGTTCAGTTTCCTTCAGGGATCTAGTTCTGCAAGGCTTGCTCCAAGTGTAAATAAACTACGCCTCTATATGCGATAGAGCTCATTGGATTGGACAGCTGAGCCGCTCGAGCACGCCATCGTGTCAACGTTGCTCAACTGAGACATGTGATCTTACAACATCCTGACCAAGTGGCGTAAGTCGGCTTTGGCATGTGCAAGTCTTGTGAAGCCTGAGAGTGGCTCCGAAAGGGCACGTCATTCTTAGCAGGGTTTAGGGTGCTAGGGTTGAGTAAGCTTTTGCGTCGAATGCTTGCAAAGCTTATACTTGGGCACTTGACTGCAAGCATGTAGCTTGGCTGGCTTCAGGCTTTGCTACCTGCAGGTAGATCCCCTTTCTGAACATCTGTACCTCGAGACCTTCAGCTTGATACCCAAACTTGCACTAGCCCCATACTCCAAACTTCTTGCAGTGCGGAGGTCACATCCGAGACAAGGAATCAGGACAGATGCTGTCATTCCTGGGCATCCAAAAGCGGACACGAGCAGCTTTAGCGCAAGCCTCTACCTCAACCCGACTCATTTTAACCTAAAGCCCTAGCTATAGTCTGCAGTTTATGGAAACCTCAAGTCAGTATCCTACAGCCTTAAACCACCCATGCAGATGTCTCTGCAATCAGCAACTGAGCCTGAATCCTGTACGCTTGTCGGAGTTAGCCCCGACAACCTGCAGCTTCAACAGCCTGTTAAACCAATCCCTGCCTAATCACAACGAAGTCTTCGAAAGCATCGAATTGATCCCCGAAAATCTCCGAAACACGCGCCTGCCGAAACCCTGCAAATAGGCTCGGCTTCGAGGATGTGACCCCCCACTCTGGAAGACACGAGATACCTTGAAGTGAGAGAGAGAGAGAGAGAGAGGTGTTTTCATGTGAAGTGCAGCCATGCGTTTTGAGCACCGACTCCTCCGTCCCCCGACGATTCCTAAGGCCCGGATCCCCCTGACAAGCGACTTGCCAATGCCCATGCCGACTTCCGTACCCGAGCTTTGGCAGGACAACTTTCTGGTTGCCTTGGAGTTGTCAGCCCAGCTGCCCCTTTGCTGCAGAAACCTTCTTATTTCGCACAGAGCCGGATGAAGGCTTATCTGCATTTGTGTCGGACGAGGCCCTTACCTTAACATTAAATTCTGATGACTTATTCCTCCGGCCATGTCCACCTTCAAGGTTGCAGAAAGTGACGATCAGGTACCCTGACTTCTGCAAGGACCGACGGGCGCTTCGAAGGGCATCTGTGGGATGTTCAGGGCGCACATGGGCCACTTGAGGGTCAAAGTTTGGGGGGATAGTTTGGTGTGTGTGGGTTTGGGGTGTATGGGAGAATTGTGAAACCGTCGAACGGCCCTAAACCGTAAACACTTCCCGTGATCCAGATCTTCAAGAACCACAGAACCTCCAGCCCCCAAAGCAACCAGATTTAGGGAGACCCGCGTAGGGCAGGGCTTGCAGATGCACATGGGAGCTCTGCAGAACCATGGCTTCGAACCCCAGACTCCCACAAAAAAGCCAAGGCCCAAGACCCCGAACCAGGAAACTCGACATGGTTAAAAAATGTTTAGCTAGACTCTCCCAGAACCACCACATCCCAGTCCAAACCGCCCGAACCATTCCGAACCGTCTGCCAAGAGCGCCAGGGCTCTAAGAGCTCAGCGCCAGGCCTATGGCATCCCGCCACCCACAGAGCCGCTCTTTTGGGTCGGTGAGCTCAGCCAGGACACCTCTCTGGGTTCCCAGGTTTGTGCCGAGAGTTCCCCCGACCCCCGACCCCCCCCCCCGGAATTCTCCCAGGCTTCTTCCCGAATTCCCCACTCTGCCTGCCTGTTTACCATGACTTCTTTGACATGTTTTTTTTTCATTGAGTTTCTTCGGTATACTTTGTGCCATGAAAGATTCCTCGGATTTCTGGGCAGCAGTAGCTTGTTCAGGAACCTGCAGCCTGCCTAACTATGATTTTGTACTCTTGCTAGTCTTAAGGGCTGAAGTGGGCTTAAGCCTTTTCCAGATTCACACAAATAAAGCCTCGACTGTAGAGCTAAACAAACCCAGAATGGCCAACAAACGCAGAAAAGACTTCAGTTTTCGAAACCCATACCTTCCTAAGCGCAAGGCGAAGATCTTGAAAGTCAATTTGTGCTAAAAGATGTGTCGAAGTTGTTAAGAACTGCATGTGGTTTGCTAAGCATACACCGCGCGAGTCGTCTGCAAGCAACTGAAACGGTTGACCATGAATCATGCTACGCACCCGTATGATTCTCGAGTCTCGCATGCGCTCTGAAGCTTGAGAAGCTCAGAAAAACACATAAGAAGACAGCGCCTGAGGTCTGTTGAAGAAGCTCAGTTTTCACTTTGCAGCGCCCGAATGTTCCAGTGACCCTAGCGTATGGTCCGGATGCAGCTTGTCTCTCTGTTTTGGGCATTCACACTCGATGAGCACGCTCCTTCCTGGTGGCGCTGGTATGTCTTGCATTGCCTTCAGAATCCTAGGGTCCAAGACGCTTAAAAGACTGGAGTGACCCAACAAGCCCGCACCAGGAAGCCTTGAGCTCCTTGAGCTGGGCTGCGGATGACAAAGTGCAGATTGGCAAGGTGCCAGCTACCGGGGTTCCAACATGTTGGCCGCTTGCTATGAAACATTGCTTGCAGAGTCTCGAGTAAGACTTCCGCACTTTCAACACAAAGTTGATGTTCCTGACAGTTGCAAGAGTGCCGTGAACTCTCTGCCGTCACCAGTAGGCAGTGATTTTGGATACTTGGACTCAGCTCGAGCTCCTGAGAATTTCGACTTCCATCTCACCCTCAGCCTCTAAAGCCTGCAACAAGCCCTAAACCACATTCTCATCCACTTCGGGGAAAACTTATTTTCATGTCGGCAGGCGTTTCGCTGCTGAGCCGTACAGAGTGACCCGAAATCTCTCCCTTCAACCCCCACCCCCAGCCCGCACACCTCCACCCCCCTGACCTCTGCAGCCCTCATAGGTGGCTGTGCCCATTGTCGTTGATGTGAGCAGCCCGACCAAGCGCAATGCCAAGCCCCGCGGGCCCGAACTTCTGCAGTAGATCCCAAAAAGAGCTGTGGTCCTCCGACCGGGTTGTGGATCGAGTAGAGTTCACAAAGGAAACCATTAGGAACCCAAAGATGAGGCAGAGGTTCGGGAAGTTTGTGGCTGGAAGTTCTGCATGCTCCTGCATTGCCCCCAAGGGGTCATCTTGAATGAATGAGAGCAGCCTCTCCACCGGAGACAGTGCCAAAAGTTTGGGCTTGCTTCGAGGCTTGGGAAAGATTTGTTGCAACCCAACCCGATTCGCAAAGAGATTCTTGGGGAACCTGACTTTGGAATTACCGCTGGCCCACCTGTTGGCGTAGGCTTCAAAAGAGAACAGAAGCAATCGGTTGGTGTTAGCATCTGTTAGTACAGCAGAGGTCATGTAAAGATCCAAAGATCCACAGGGCGCCTGCTAACTGAATAGTGCTATTGGGGGATCTGGCCTAAGGGATTTGGTTTGATTCGGGGCCCCTGAGCAAACCCAAACTGAATCTGCACTGCAGCTTCGTTTTTTACTCAGACGCTGCAGCTGGCATCATAGCGATTGTAGATATGGCGTGCCTTCGCGAACAGGCTAGTACAGAATTGCCCTGCGGGTGATACTTTTTCAATCCAGTTCTGTATGCTCCTAACGTATGGCCCATACCGGGGGCAGAGAGAGAGCGAGAAAGAGAGGAGAGGAGAGTTTGAAAGAGGAACGTTACACAGATTGTCAGCTGAGTACGGCAGTGCTCGAAGTGCTCTGAGTCGATGAATCGCGCGCTTTTGCTTGCCAATGCCAATCCCGTGGCACTCGGGGGCTGGGCACGTGCCTGTCTGCGTTGGTCTGCGCAGCTGAAGAGCATTCAAAAGGGCTTTTTCTTGCCTAGGGCCGAGGCACCCCAGCCGCTCAAGTTCCGAAGCCTATCTGGAGCTGAGGCTTTTGCAAATCCCTTCAAGGTCGGTGGAGAGTGTATCGGGCACACGCTGTGGACGACGATCCTAAACTCCTAAGCACTAGTCTCTAAATGCACAGACTGGACTCGACAGCCAGTTTCTGAGTCCACCTTGGTTCGCTTTGGTTCGAGGGCCTGTTCAGATTGACTTAAAGCTTTCACGCACCTTTTCCCCCTGCACCACGCTCTAGTTCGGGAAGTCCAGAGCTTGTCAAGGCTGAGGGCCGTGCTCTGTTTTAAAGGTTGTCTGGGACTGGAATGACTGGATACAGGACCTGCCCACGCAAAGCCTCAGGCGCGCATCCAGCGCACGGACATTCCTTCTCGTGACGTTTGACATCACCTTTTTGCGACTCCTAAACCCCTTGCCGAATAACTAAACATCAGAACCTGCCAACCACGTATTCAAAGCCCAGGCGAAACAAAAGCACCAAAGTGTCATGCACAGCTTCCCGTTTGGCCTTGGCTAAGCACTTAGATATGCAGCCTTGAGAGCGAACCCCCGAAGGCATTCTGAAGGCGTAGAGGTGTTGGGGGCGGTGCAGCGAACATGCCCCTTTCTAGCAACACACATCACGCAGGTTCCAGCGCTTCAGATGCTAGAGACGACAAAGGTTGCAGAAGGAACTTTCAGGAGATCGCCGCGAATGCGGAGATCTTCGCCGGTGGCCTGCCGTCGATAGAGCCATGTTCCGAGCATCGTTTGGGCTTTTGTGCGTGTTCAGAGGGGCCGGGATGCGCCGGTTTCCCGGGCCATTTGAGCAGTGCCCCCTGCCCCAGAAACCATACACATGCAAAACCCAAGCCCCGGAAAGATGATGAAAAGAACGAACATAATGGGGAGGGGAGGGAGGGGGGGGGGGCCACCTCAGGCGGCCGGTGCTCGAGCCTTGCTGGTGGGGCAGAGGGCTCAGTGCTCCGCAAGTGCTCTCCGCAAGTGCTCTCCGCAAGTGCTCTCTGCATCTCTCCAAAACTGGAGAGACTTGGGGAGCATATTTTCTATTCCGTGCGAATTCCGTTCCCTCTCGACAATCCGAAGGTCAGAGATGCACTGAAATCGAGCGCTCTCGAAGTCTCGAATGCGCTCCCAATTTGGGGCGGGGCTGCGCGGCTTTCTCGAGGTTTTTTTTTTGCGGCAGCCGAAGAGCCGAGTCCGACCGAAGAAGAACCTAACCACGAAGCAGCTTTAAGCAACTTTTCAGCTGTTGGGGCATTGGAGCACACGTCTGATACTGTACGGGGACGTCATGCCTTTGGCTCCTTGCGCATCATTGGACTCCGATGTTGCTCGCCCAAGCTCGTACTACTTCTTGCGCTGTGCCATCATGTGCCCTTCATCAAATATTGAGACAAACATGTGGCTCGTGGTCGATGTCCTTGCATTTTCTTCAAAACCTCTAGCTTCAAAGCGTAGACCTACACGCAAGACTCCGTTCCCAGAAGCTGCAAACTCGTAAATCCCAGCGAAGAGAGTTATCCTACATACAACGCAAACAAGCACACTACTACATCTTCATGACCCGGCAACCCTATGCCGCCCCGAAACCCTAGCATTCATATCGGAGTATCGGAAATTTGTTCAGCCGAAGCCCTGCTCCAGGGGGGTGTGAATGCCTTGAGATGCTCAGTGGTCTTTGTTTGGGTACCCTACCAAGACCCTCAACTCCAGAAGCCCTCAAGCCCTCAGCCAAAGACAGGGCCTTGATTCTGAACTCTAGACTCTGCCAGCCGCCCTGACCCCCCAACCCTGCACCCCCCGAAGTGGATGAACTGTAGTCCCTAAATTTCATCTTCACTAGGTGATGGTGCAGCATTTTCGGATTTAGGGTACAATCTTCGGGGCTGCGGGGCTACAGGGTGCAGGGTTTGGGGAGGGGCCGCAGCTGCAGCTTGCGTAGAAGTAGACCCCTGGAAGTATGACATCGTACAGCCCAGTAGTATTTTTTCAAAAACTTCCCAAAGGTCAAGCCTGTGCACACTAAGCCTATGTTTAAAAGGCACCGTTCGAGACCCCAAGTCCCAAGCCCCGGAACCCCGTACTCCAACCCTAACGGCCGTCCACTTGTCACTTTCGGCCTGTACTTAACCCGAGACTCACTCTCAAGCCGCTGGTTGTCAGAAAAAGTCACAAACCCCGAGCCCTAGACCTTTTGCCTGAACCCCACAAGCCTACGGGGGGGGGTGGGGGGTTCTGTGCCTGACTTCCAAAACCCCGCCCTACTGTAGACCCCGGTGGGGATGGGGACGCATAAAACGCTTTTCAAGCGTTGTGCTTCAGCTGTTGGGCTTGAAGCCCCAGGGACATTGAATGGTGTCATAGTTCAACCTCCGGTGGCTCGGATGTCAGGCTCTTCAGTTTGAGCTTCAGGGACGGCCTTGGGTTTCGTTCATGGCAGCAGCTCTACGGCGCCTCCTTCAATCGGCACCCACGACCTTTGCTTGTGGAGAAAGTGAATCGGGCTGCAGGTTTTGTAGCTCCTTAGATCCCAAGGCCTAAATCCAAAGCATCGTGAACCTTCAGCAGGAGTGGGTCCAGGTAGGTTTGGAGCGGCTCAGGGCTCCCAGAGCTGAAAGGCTAAAAGGCGTCAGGATGCTGATGTGTTTTAAGGGTTGGGCCCTTTGGGGTTCAGGGACAGCTATTTGGATGGCTTGGGAATCTGCACTGCAGGAGCACCGCGCGCGGCGTCCTCGAGCTTTTGACCAAGTCCCTCCGGACTTTCCACGACGATGCGGAGCTTCAGGCACCCTTTCATCATTGATGGCTTTGAGCCGGCAAAGGGGGACTGGAAAATGTTACATGAAAGCTTGACCCGCGCGGATAATGTTTAGGCTCGCTGCACCGCGAGTCTACAGCGCTTTCAGATGTGCTTCTGGAAGATGTGAAGATGGGTGTGTCACACACTGGGAAGACATCTGTGAGCGTAATTGCAGTTGGTACAACGGGGTGACTCGCATTTTGGCGGACTGATGTGAATTCAATCCATTTCTCGTCGCGCCTGATAGAAGTACGAGGGGAGCATCCACATTGGAGCACATTCTTCGAACAGCATGAAGGAATCACTCTTTCAGGCCTAACAGTAATTGTTTTTGGTTTTCGAGGGGTCCGCCAGACATCATATTATGGGGTGTACGGAAACCAGAAATCTACTCACAGAAATAATGAAGGTCTGCAGACCCCAACCCACAACAGGAACTCGCCACGTATGTCCCAAGTTCCAAAGCCTGAAAGTTGGAGCTGAAAATTGAAGGAAGCCTCACTGGCTGCATTGCGGGAGCTGGCGGCGGCTAGCAGTTGGGCTCACGGAGTTTGTGGTCCAAGGGCGGCAGCGCTATTGCAAGTTCCCACTAAGGGGTTCTTGGGGGTCGGCATTGTTGGGCTGACACGTTGATGTCGTAGTGGGGTTTCGTCGTTTCAGACTTGGAGCAGTCTGGTTAAGGATTGTTGGAACGCTTGCCGGACGCATCGATATGTACAATGTATCCAGATGGTTACCTGGATGACCCTTCGAAAACATCGACCGGCCTGTTCGGATCTCCTCTGATGTTAATGTCCTTCCTACTAGAAGAACATCCATTTCCAGAGCGTGCACGAACGGTGCTTCCGTCCGTGCCGCCAGAGAATGCATGCCCAGAGTATCCATCGACCAATGATGCCCTAAAACCTAAACCAACCACGAATCACCTGAACCTTAAATTGTAACCAACCATGAACCACGGGGCGCAGAGTGAGAACCCTCCCTAAACCCGACAGCATAACCCTAAACCCTGAACCCAAACCACCATCAACCACTGAGGGAGGGATATCAGGGGGCGGGCAGGGGGAGGTCCGGTCCGTGAATGCTTGGCGCATATACGAAAACAGCCCTGATCCTAAACCTGAATCCTGATCCCCTTAAGCTCTCGTGTTCTAGACCTTTGGGGGAATCGATCCTTTTTCATTGGCTTGGGATTCGGGATTGGATGCGAAGCGCCCCTTCCTGTGTGCGCCAATCCTATGCGGCCCTTGCAGTTTAGTCGGACCACTCTGGAATTTTGATGAATTTTGGGTTTCGGTTTGTGCTTTCTCCGTGATTCCCCGCTGCAAGGTCGCACCCGACACCGGATGACGTTGATAGGCGCTTGGAGGCAGATTGCCTCCACTATGCAGGCCAGCCAGCATATCATGCACTTTGAGAAGCCAAAATTGTGCAAAACCCCCGAAATATCATCAAGCCAGAAACTCCGAAGCACGCTGTCGACCCAAACCCCCCTGATGATCTTGAAGCCCTTGATGACCAAAGGATTTTGGATGTGGGTTTGTGTTTTTGCGTAAGCCGCTCAAGCTTTGACAATATAAGGTATGCTTGACAGACTTCGGCTCGAATCTATCACATCCATCTTTTCTCGGAGAAAGCTTACACACTGCAAAACAGCATTCTGAGAGGAACCCTGTACCCTGTTCGTCGTTCCCTCGACGACGGTAACAAAAAGACAGATGAGCTTGTTGCGGAAATCCCTCAGCGTGGCTTCCAGCCTCCCAGCTTCAATCGAGGCTTAGTACTGTAGGGTACCACGCTGACTGCTGAATCTGGCTTTCGAGTATATGAGGCCGCAATCGAACCCGAGAACTCGTACGGCACGCATCAAAGAGAAGAAAGTACAGAGAGAAAACGTTCCGGAAGGTCGCTCGTGACGCCGGTGACTTCTGACCCCCAAAACCGTCCAACGAAGACACAATGCGTGGATAAAGGTTGCGAACTTCATGGGTTCAGGATGCAGGCGTCCGTTCTGAGATCTTTGCCTGTCACCCCCCACGGTCTGGTTCTGAAGTTTCGGCGAAAGGCAAGAGGAGGGCGGAACTCAGAACTCAGAATAGCATTTCTGATTGGGCGGGGCTGCTCTTCGAAGAACACAGAAAATACCGAATATCTGCTCGCAGTATTCTCGGATGTCGTCGGTGTCTCGGTGCGGCATTTGCTTCTGCGTTCCAGAACTCCACTCTCAGAATTGTTGTGTCCGGGTTTCTTACTGAATGTGACAAAAACTATGCCAAAAAAACGATGTTATCAGGAATTCTGTTACGGGTTTCTTCCCGAATTTAAGACTCATGAGGAAGTTATGCACACAAAGCTATCTACTCTCATCCTCAGGGATCGGGGCACGAGGCTAAGTGCCAAATTTCGAAATCCTGAGTCCTAAACGACAAACTGGGACATTCACGACTTAGTCAGCACTTATTCTTCGATCGCTCCGCGTAGGAGCGGTCAATCAAGCTTCCTTCCAAGACCCAAAATCAAGCCAGGAGCACTCCGAGCAGCCGATGATCCAGGCACATGCCTCGTTTGGCGCGTACTGAGCGCAACATGTAAAGGGGCGCTAAGTGAAGCTGTTGTGCATTTGAGGCTGTAGGGTGCAATTGGAGTCAAGGTCTACGATACAGCGACGAATAGGCCCTGCAATTCTCTTTGACTTGCTCTTCACTCACAGCTTTCAATCTGCCGAGCTGCGAACTTCGCAGCCGCGCCAGAAATGCCACTGTAAACCGACACTGCGCTGTGGCAATCTACGTTGCTTTGAGTTCAAGACTCCGGACTCGACACCCCGAAACCCTCAATTCTTGAGGGTTGCGGTGTAGGGTTTTGGGGAGTGAGGGATTTCGAGTCAGGTTTTAGGCTTTTGGCAGGCTGGCCACTGTATCCCAAACTCAACGGCGTCCAAGCTGTTAGTACACCCCGATCACCAGGTTTTTGCTTGCGACCTGCTCGAGCTTCAATCACGAGAGAGCAGGGGCCCCGTCAAGGTTTAGGTTTGGGAGTTGGCTAGGGCTAGGGATGATTGCTGCTGGTAGGTCTTCCGATCAGGGACACAAACGTTTTGCTGGGAGCAGCAAACCCTCAAGCGCGCCAAAGCAAGGATGACAAGAGTGCCCAAGCGAACAAATACAGAGCAACCACCAGATAATGATGCACTAAAACCACAGACTTCGCGATTCTGCTTGCTTTCTCCAGGGCATCTTCGGTAGAAGAAACCTCTAAGCGAAGTACCCAAAAGCCAGTCGTGAAGACTTTAGAAGTTGAAGGACCTCGGGATCGCTTCCAGGCTTACCCCCAAGCTGTTCACAACTTTGCTACTCCCTATCGCACACCTGTGTTTGTTTGGTGCTCAGCGTGTATCCTTTTCTCTCGGCTTTGGTGCATGTGACTGTCCGCTTGTGCGTGTCCGCCATCTAGTTTTGTTTCTTGGTGTTCCTTTGTGTTTGCTTGCTTGCTTGTTTTGTTTGCTTGTTTGCTTGCTTGCTTGTTTGCTTGTTTGCTTGCTTGTTTGTTTGTGTGTGTGTGCATGTGCATGCACATGTGCATGCACATGTGCATCCGCATGTGCATCCGCATGTGCATGCACATGTGCGCACGCGCGTTGGGCGGGTGGGTGTGTGCGGGTGTGTGCGTGTGTGTGCGCGTGTGTGTGTGTGTGTGTGTGTGTGTGTGTGTGTGTGT